CATAAACCACGGCGATGTGTTACTCAAGTGAGTAGAAAGGAAATGTCTGTGTGTGTGTGTAGCGCGCACACATACATACACACACACACACACACACACACACAGTGGCCTGGCCTATAATCGTCCCTATTTAAAATGCTAATTTCCTCTCTCCCGCAGGTGCCTAACTTGTTTGAAACTAAATTGCTCGTCATAGCAGGTCAATCTGAGCCTAATGAATTCATCTGTCCTCCCATTACACTTATCGATGGTGAATGTTGGACAACAGGTGCGCTGAGTATCCAGGGGTCTGAAAGCGAAGCCTGCAGCCTCTTCTTGCTATCTCAGATGGATTTCCACATCACTTGTGAATATTTTAGCATTTGGCATGGATGAGGCTTTGACCTGTGAGCATCTCCATTACAAGGGATATTTTACTTAGAGATGCTCACTTGCACTAAACTACCAATCAGACTAAATCACCTGTCCCCAGCCATTCCATACCAGCCCATGGCTGACTTTAAGGTCAAACACTGAGCTGGAGCAGCACTTACTTGATTTGAGGGGAACTTAATAAAACTGTATAATAGTCAATATGGAGGCAATGTAGCTCTTAGGATGAAGCAAATGGATGATACACACATATGCCACTTAGTGCTTTAGGCCATTAAATTTTTCTCAATCCTAATTCCCAAGATCTTCTTTGGTTTATCATAGTTTGTGTTCAGGAGTGGAGACCAGTCTGAAGTGTTTAAACCCACTCAATGTCACATCTAAACTCAAGTTAGTGTGTGGGAAAAGTGTACTTAGTCTACAAGCTACATTGTCAAATAAGAAAAATGTCCTCCCGGCCTCTCTAAACAAGGCTATTACTCTGTCTTTGAGCCCACACAGACTCACTCAGAGAGTAATCACAGGTAATGATGACCAAGAGTGAGCATAATTTTTCTCCATAGCCCAGCAACACGACACAACAAACCGGTCTCTCTGGGGGGGCTGGAGAAGAGAAGAAGTGAAAGGGAGGGAGGTAAACAAAAAGGGAGGGAGGGGTGGGGAGTTATACAGGAGGATATCTAGCAGAAAAATGGCAGAAAGTGACCAAACATCTTCCTAAAGGATAATTCATGAATGTAAAACAGAAGGAAAGAAAGAGAAATACATCATGAACAGAGAAAGAGATGAATGATGTAAATGTGGTTCCTTGCTGTTTCTTGTGGGCAGAGCCAAAGTAGTGAGGAGCTAATCTGGTATAAGTGGCAGATTTCAGACTTCATTGGCAGCTGTGATGTAATACTTAATGCATAGCCATAAATTAGCTCAGAGCACCATGTGAGCCTTTACCACAGCAGCCCACCAGGCAAGCGAGGGATGGAGCTAATTACAATCATTCATTAAGAAGCAGGATGGAGCGAGAAAAGCCCCTCCTAGTGACTTTAAGTGCGCTGTAGAATTTTCTTCTCTATAAACAATCACTCAACATGCATGTGAAGCTTCACTGGACCTCTTTTCATGCATGCATTTGTGGTTTTGGTGCAGCGCGCTCATCTACAGTCAGTGGATGCCTTTGTTATCACTCTGCTGTGTGCATGTGGCTGTGGAATCAAGCAGCACCTTCTTTCAAAACCGAGTAAATACAGAAATAAACGTTTCCAGAGATTGATTTGCTGATACGACCAAACTATGTTGCCCATTTCTAAAGTTGCTGTTTGCACTAACCAAGATTATATCAAACTTCGGGTCCCCTGCATGCACGCTCTCACACAGGACGGTAGAAATGTACGTGTTTGGGAAGACGATCTAACAATGTTGAAACTAATAGGAATTTGTATGTACTTGCAAAGGATAGCAAGTATAAAATGTTAAAACTTCAATGTTGGAGATGTTAGGTTTAACATTATATTAGAATTTACACACAGCATCCATGACTTGACTTAAAGCATGTTAAAAAAATGTACCAGACATCACCGCATTTTACATATGCAGTGGTACTCCCCAACACCTGTAAACAGACTTTGATGTGTAAGACCAGTGGAGTTCCCCTTTAAGCAGTTTGTTTACCAATGAAAAAGGATTAGGCTGCAACCTTTGCTTATTTATGTCTTTCATTTCAATAGACTTGGGGGGTACAACTGCTACAGTCGTGCTAGGTCTGGTTTGCATGTGGTGGTTAGTTGATGTTAGCTCATTTTAGATTGCTGTGTAACAGAAATTACTGAGTTAGTTTGCCTACAGTTATCCTGTAATTGTCACTGTGGCTACTGTCAAAGTTTCATAGCTAGCTTTAACCCATTGACTTGCAGCATACACTAACTCAAGCTGAACTCTCACAGTCCGTAACTGAACAAAATGTAGTGCTGTACTTTTACGTCATAAAGAATAACTATGTCCTGTTGTCTTCAAACCTTGGTGCGTTAGGACCGCCTCTGCTGTAGATCTATACTGTGAGGCTGCAGTTCTCCTTTTTCAAAGGGTTAAACGTATCATATTCTCAGGGGTATGAAACTAATCTAAAACAGTGGATTATGTAAGGGGAACCTTAGCTTGGGCTAATCCTCCTTTCCTGTCTGACTGTCACACTGTTCTTTGATGCTTGCTTTATAGTGGAAACGATGGCGATTCAAATGAATGTTATTTTGCAACTCCTGTGAGAGAAAAAGGAACATTTTACCAGTGAGTAAAATTATATACAGATATGGACATCCTATAGCTGGGACGATACTCAAAGCATTTTTTCCTACATGGAGAACCATGATCACGTGCCCCATTGTTGCCTGCTGCACATTAGTCACTTACTAATTGTGGGAAAGAGAGTCTTCTGTTTGCATGCAGACTCAGTGGCCGGACTTTGCCTTTCTGTCTGACAGACTAAATGAGCCATGTATGCTGTCACATTCAATGCATGTTTGAGCCTGTGGGAGAGATAGGTGGAAGAGTGAGCGCGGGGAACATTGAGCAAAATGAATGAATGTTATGCACAGGCTTCATCAGATTTTGTCACATTGTTTCCTCAAATTGTTTGTGCATGTGTAGAAAGGAGGGATAATCAGACACCTCTCTTCTCGCCCTCCCTCTTTTCAGACCCCTCTGTCTTTGGCTGACCACTCACACCCCCATCCATTGGCCTCCCCATTGGCCTCTGCAGCCACAGCCAATGAGCGATTGGCTGCGAGGGGAATTCTGAGGCAGAGGACCAGTTAATTATGCTAATCCAAGAAACTGATAAGGAGATGGTTTTAAATATTTAAAACCTCTAGAAACACACACATACAGAGGCAGTGTGGTTTAGAGAGAGACAGGCTCTGTGAGAAAATGAGACTATTTTTGTCAGCATAAGCAGAGAAAGAAAGTTCAGGAAATAGAGAAAGAGAACAGAGTTATAATTAAGCTCTTTCCTTTTCCTCACAGATCTCCATCTCTGTGTAGTATTCAAGAACTAAATGTTTCATCCTTTTCTCCCTCAATTCCAAATACCAAACAGTCATGTAAATATTAAATAATACATATATACAATTCTCTGGATGTTGGACTTTCCGTCCCCCCTACTCAGCGCTCAGTTCCTCCTCTGTTGCTGGTGTGCTGCTGGCCTTTCCACTCTCTTCTTGTTAACTGATGTCTGTGGGCGGATAACACTGCTTCACTGATCCACAACTCATGAAACACCACTCATCTTTTTCCCGTTTCTTTCTCTTCTTTTTCATTTCTGCCTAAAACCATTTCAGCGCCCAATAATTCTTGCTGTCAACATCAAGACATGTCATTATTGTCTTTCTGCCATTGGATTTTTTGTTTTTGAGAGCAGCACCCAGTGGACTTTTAACATCGCTTCTCCTAGGAGACCGATTCGAAACTCATTTTCTTTTACGACCAGCAACCAGGAGCCAGCTTTTTATTGGATTACAAGTCTTTGCTGTGGGACTAGCTCCTAAACTGTTCAATACAGTGTCTTCTAAAACTACAAAATATCACATAACTGTAATCTCTTTTGTTCACTGCTTAGAGACTCCTGTATTAGTTTTTCTAGTTTCTTGTCTGTAGCAGTGTAATGCAGGTACACCTTCTGTGTCCCACAACAGTCAAAAGTGCAAAACTGCCTTTGCAGTCCAGCAAAAACTCTGCCTGCCAGAGCTACACTGTAGAGACAACTAAGCCCTGCAGGATACTAAACCGAGGGGAAAGGAGGGAGCAGGATCATCAGGAGTGTCCCCCTCCTGCAGATCTGCAGATTCTGAGGCAAGAGGGTTGATTTTTCACTCTGTCAGATGTCGCTAAAGAAAAGTATACCCCCCACCTTCCCAGAGGCGTGAAAGGGGTGAGAAAAGGCTGCAAAGGGAGACAGCAAGGACGAAACGCATTTTTAATTCTTGATGTCTAGCTTTGTGCCAAATATTATTCCTGCGGAAAACGGCCTGGAAAATGTGGCTTGCAATCTCTGCTAAAAAATGAAACTGTAATGTAATATGAATGTACTGAAAGGACATTAAGAATTAATGATAAGTTATTTGAAGTGAGACTATTGTGGATATTACAGCATCCTTAGAAGCTTGAAGTGGCGCTGCGAGTAAACTGCAGAGTTAACTGACTTACAGACATACATACATTGAAAGAGAGACACAGAGAGCGAGGGAGAGAGAGAGGGGAAGAGTGGTGGGATATAGCAACAGAGGAGGGGGATAGGGGAGAGTATAATTAACACCATGGTCTGTCTCTCTGCAGGCCTGCGGCACACTGCTCTGAAATGCTGATTCAGTACACAGATAGAATAGCACGGGAAGGAGAAGGGGGTGAGGAGAGGGATGCAGCAAGAGGGAGAGAGAGATGGGGTGTTTCAATGAAGAGAAAATGTGAAATGAAGCAATGGATAGCTCAGTGGGACAAAAAGTCAAATTGCGGTAAATAGTGAAGGCAGGAGTGAAAGTAAAACTGCTTAAATTAAAGTAACACATGCAAGATCTGTCATGTAATGTTCACTTCGCAGTTACAGTGGGTAGAAGGTGTACTCTATAATGTGAAGAAGGCTATCTGTGATCACTGGTTGACTTTATTGAGCGCTGAACATTTGCAGATGCTTCAGAGACAGCAGTGCAAATCCTCACTCTGCGTTAACAAGAGGAGAACAATGACATCTAGTGGTGTAACAATAGATTTGACCGGCGCTGAATTTCTACTGCAGAAGTGCAGATGGATACGACTTTGTTAAAAAGATAGAAATACACCTGACAAACGGAGTGCGTCCAGGGTCAGTGTCGTGTGGGGCACTGAATCACTAACGGAAGGGTTAGTCACAGTTGAAAGTAGTCAGTCTGTCACCATGCAGGGGGGTGCGCAGAGGCAGCTCACATCTATAATGCATCAAGCTCAGTGTCAGGTAAGCTGGAGACAAGGACAAAACAATGGAACCAATAACTGCTGAAGAGAGATGAGATGGACTGATTCATACAATCCCAAACAAAACATGCAGTTATCATTTTGGAGCTACTACACACAGACAGCTAATGCATCATTGAAGCTATGACCAACATTGTTCAAATGTTACATTATTAAAGTAAGTATGTTAAAAAACAAAAAAAACACTCATTTGTTTTACAGTGAAAGTAAACAGCATGTTGTTTTTAGAGCACACAGCATTGAAATGCAGCAGTATTGCTCTGGATAGTCCACAGGACGTACTCTGTGCAGCTTTCATTGAGACTATTTCTTCAGGAGAAACATTTGAAAGTTGTTTGATGGATCCACTGTGTTGGGTTGAAGGCAGAAACTCAAAAGTTGGACCAAAGGTATTTGCATAGCTACATACCATTAAAGGTAACTGAATAGTAACAATTAGGAGGATAATCATTCATCCTTTAAAGGTTTCTTTTTTAGTGTGGTGGTCATCGATTTCCTCCTTTTGTTTATATCCTCAATTTTCGTATCTAGCAGGGGACTATTACTCAGCACATTTGTTCAAATCAGATCCATGGAGTCGTACAATTCTTTATGATTTGTATTGGGTTTTTTTTATGGCTTCACTATTACAACAAATAGAAAAAAAGTGAAGTTTGTTCTCCTTGCGATCAAGAACTGGCGGGTAAAGATACAGACGGCAAATTGAAGGCAGGCTGGTGTTACAGGGCTTGTTGAAGCCCCTTATGTTGATATTGAGTGAATCAAGTGATACAATGTGTGAAGTCAAAAGTCAAAACTGCTACAAAACTTGCTGCTACAGTTTGTGTTACAGGCAGCAAGGATATAAAGTGCATTCACCAAAATAATTTGGTTTAAACACATTTGGACAAGGTTTGACACAGCAGCACTAATGTTTATAGCATACGTACATTTGAGTATGTTCAGGTTTTCACGGTAATGGTGACAAATTGAGAGGAGCCGCTTGTGCTGCTTGTAGTGTGAACATATGTAGTGTGATTAAACGCATCATTTAGCAGCTGTAAAGCAGTAAATATTTATATGCAAGTCCTTGAAAAGTATTTGTGTACCTTTAAATAGCTTTCACCAAAAACCTTACAAGCTCACTTCATCATCCCAAACGCAGCCGGCCGATCAAGACTGAAACAAAATTGTCTTAAAAAGTCTGTCCAGCAGTGTGCAGGTTGGTGCTCAGAGAGGATGGGCAAATCTTTTACACTGCAGCTTCTCTTCTCTTTCAGCCGTGTCCGTTCACCTGGCTCTGTGCGTCTGAGTTCGGATCAGGATGGTCATTATCCATCGGCAGAAAGCCCCACGTCTTAAGCAGAGCAATCCGCTGAGCAGGACGAGTGGAAAAGTAGTCCCTCTGTTTCTGAGAGTAGGTCTGGACTGGATGGACGATGTCTCTGTAGCTCCAGTCCTGGTGATGCAAAATTCCTCTGATTAACTTTGATTTATTGTTTTTCTAATGACTTGATGAAAACCCATTAAAACAAACACTATGTTGTTGTTGTTGTTGTACCAAACACAGTACCAAACAAACACTGGTACTGTGTTTAACAAATGGATTTAAAATCCCAAGAAATCCTATTTTACTAAAATACAGGTTAAATTACGACTCGACAATAGAATTAAATTTCTGAGAAAGAGAAAGTGCTTGTGAATCAAACTGAAATAAATAGATTTTTAGCGAGACCGCAACCATAGTGGTCTCAATATGTAGAACAAAATTGTCAAAGAGAAATGATAAGAAGATAAATTCCTTCATTTACTTAGAATCAAGACATTTCAAATTTCAGTTAAAATATATTTTGTTTTCTCTTTGTGTTGAAAACTATGGCTGGGTAATATGGCCAAAAATGTTATCATGATGAAAAATTTCATACCATTTGATATTGATAATTATCACAATAAATATCAAATCATTGTTTCTTTCAAGTTAAAAGAATTTTTGCTCCTGAGTGAAAGTTGAAGAAACCAGATGGTTAATTGTGGTTTTAAACTATTTTTTATGGTCAGAACATGACAAACACTTGATGCCAAACAGTGGATCACCTCACAAATCTGAGGTGGAACAAACAAAAGAATTACAATAAAATTGTATTATATTATCTAATGTACCATGAGTAAAATGTTACTGAACATGTTTTGAACTTTTGTTATGTTGTTATTGAGGAAAATGATATTGCGATAATCATCATTATTGTTTTATTACCCAGCCCTATTGAAAACTAGAGGGAATATAGTCTCTCACCAACTACAGCACAGACAGAGTGAACAGACAACACAAAACTCTGCAGAAGGGGGTCTCTTATCTAAAGGCCATCTGTCTTTGAAGTCTTTTGCATGAAACAGTTTGGTATCCCCTGGTGTCTATTTAATGTATGTGTCACAGGTATTATGGCTTTCAGTGATGAGGTCCCGTTACCTGCCAGTTGAAGTTGAAAGCCTCCAGCAGCTGTACCCTGCCTTCTCTGGAAGGCACACAGTCAGGAGGAACAGGCTGTGACATCTCAGGGCCCACCGTCACACCGTCAAACACCAACAGGGCTCGAATGGCAAACCAGCCCCCAAACCTAGGATGCACACACACTCCGAACATCTTCTGCAGGTAACAGAGAGAGATACACAAAACAGAGGTGAGGAGACATAAAATGGAAACACTACATAATATCTTTCACAACTACTGGAATTTAATGAGCAACATTACCTTTTCAGCCCAGGGTTGGTCTCTGACATCAGACTGTTGGTAGTAGAAAGCTGCTCCAGACACGTGAGCCGCAGTCTGTGCCAAGAACTTGGGCTTCCTGCTGGGCAGCAACTCGTAGTCATACCTCACATCTACTGTCTGTCTGGGGAAACACTGCAGGGCAGGAAAGGGCATATTTAGGTGTCACAACCTGATCATGGAAATAGTTATAGTTGCAATCCTATTCCTAAGTGGGTTAAAGATATCCAACACGATGACATTAACTGTGAGACCGTCAGAGAGTTTGTCATATAGTTTTATACTATGGTATTATGGCCCAGATTAACCCACTATAGGACTCCAGGGCAAAGATATGCTATTGGGTTCCTGCAGATGTTTGTGCACTGTGTATGTACCCAGTCACATCCAAAAACCCATTAAGTGCAGACTGTACATGACAGTGGGAGCCCAACATTGACACCATCATCAAGAAGGCCCAGCAGAGGATGTACTTCCTGCGCCAGCTCAGGAAGCTCAACCTGCCTAAGGAGCTGCTGATCCACTTCTACACAGCCATCATCCAGTCTGTCCTCTGCACCTCCATCACTGTCTGGTTTGGATCTGCCACCAAAAAGGACAGGAGCAGACTACAACGGACAGTCAGGACTGCAGAAAAGATCATCGGTGCCAACCTGCCCTCCATTCAGGAAACATCACTGCAGATCCACCTCACCCAGGACCCAACCTGTTCCAGCTTCTCCCATCTGGTAGGCGCTACAGAGCACTGTACGCCAAAATCAACAGACTCAGAAACAGTTTCTTCCCACAAGCCATCACTCTGATGAACAGCTGACTCTGACTCACAGTGTCAGGAACAATTCTTGTGCAATAACCCAGTAATTCTGCCTCTAATCAGCCACCTGTTTACTGGTTACCACTTATTATTTATTCATCATTCTCTATTTCAGAGCTGTTCATATCGTTATATTTTCATTTCGCATATACTGTTTACCAAACCCACCTACCTCAAGTACATAACACCTGCACATAATACTTATTTATTCCAGCATCCTTTGCACTATGTTTCACACTGTGTACATGTACTTGTATGCCTGTATATCTAATCAAACCTCCGACATGTACATAATAATGATAATTTTACTCCTGCATCCTTTGCACTCTGCCAGGCACTATTATCTCAATCTGTATATTGTTTTTGTTTATACTGTGTATATATGTGTTCTCTATACTGTAGCTTGTGTGTGATTATTATTGTATTATTGTTGTATAAGTAAGCACATCGTGAGCAACATATAATCCTGATCCAAATTCCTTGTACGTGTACACATACCTGGCAATAGAAGTTGATTCTGACAATAGTTTTCACAGGGACCCATTAAAACAGCTAGTACTACCTGCTGTGGATTGTATGTCGTTTTCAGTAATGAAAAGTTCAAAAGAATATTTAAGAGCAGCATGTGAGGACAACATCACCTACAAGATCACTATGTCTGCAAGACAGAGCCTAGAGCTAGCCCAGAGCTAATGATGCAAGACTCGTCATGAGGCCATTAGTATTTCAGCCAATTTGTGCATATTTCAAAATCTGGAAAACCAATTTGCAATTTATTAAATTACTACAAAATAAATAACACTCATTGAATCTAGCACTTGGTTCCCTAAGGGTCTGGGGCCCTGTGTCAGTTACCCCACTTTGCCTAGTTGCCAATCCAGCCTTGTGTGGCATCTGTCCCTTTAATAGTTGTAAAGCACGGTTAGCCAAAAAAAACAAACAAAAAAAAACAACTCACTCCCATCTAGTCATTTTAACTCTTCACCTAATTGTCCAGACAGTTTACTGTATCTTTAGTGATATTGTAATATAAAATTACATAATTAAAATTACACAATTACAATAGAAGACTTTACCCATCATCGTCCACCCCTATCCAACCAATCATACAAACTTGTTTTGCCCCACTTTTAAGGGGCCGGGGTATTCACTCATACTCGCTCACCTGGGAGACAGCAGAGGAGACGCAGTGTTTGACACACTGGTCTATGGGGTCAGACAGCCCCTGGCAGCCCCTCTCCTCCATGAAGGGCAGGAAGGCTAGTTCAAACATGTCAGGAGTGCTGAGCACCACCACGGCCAGGCTGTCATCAGGGTAAGCCAGGCGCAGGGTGGGAGGCAGCACAGAGTTATACCAACCAACCTGTGAACATGGTGGGGCAGAGTGTCAGAGAGGCAGGAGCAAGCAGGCCAACAAGAAAAGGAAAACGCCACGAGAAATATATAACGTATATTGTATCTGAATACAGGCTGTTAAATCATTTTACTGGCTTTCACTTTTACACTTCTCAGTCCTTGCTAGCAGGTAAACAGGTCGATGTATTGAATCGTATATTTGTGTATACTACTTCTGTCAAAGCTAAGTTGCACATTAGAAGTACAATACCTTTAAAGGGTAGCACTCAAATCCAAATTTTGATAAATAGTCCTCTAGCAGTCCTGTTATCACATCCACATTGCCTGTGGAAGCCGCCATACTTACTCGTCAACGCAAAGCTTTGGATTGTGGGATATGAAGTTCTTTGGCTAATCAATGTCAGAAATTAAGCTAGACTCTTGCTTTTTCTGTCGTGATTTCTTCTGACAAAGCGAGTGGCTACAATACGATGTACAATACAATGTGTTTCCGAGAAATTCAACAGAAGTACTTCACTAAATTTGTGTAGAGTAATTGTCTACTACAATACCCAGAAGACCCCTGCGGCTACGTCATACGCAATCACGTCGCTGTTACGGGCTCCTGGATTTAAAAGTGGATTCGCAGGTTTTTCTGTGAGTAGCTTGGTTAGCTGGCTAACATAAGCATTTGTGTCGTTTACGTTAATTATTATATACTGTATTTCAGCCATAGTTTATATTATATTTTCAAAACAACACATTACTCCGTGTCCAGGAGACGGTCAATAATTACTTTGCCAACCAGGACAGGAACGTTAACGTAACGTTATGAACACTGAGAGAAAACAAGTCACCGTAAAGCTGCTGCTAACTGAAATTAGCATAGGTTAACACTATGAGAACGTTTGTTATTTAACGTTTCCTTCGCCACTTTATCTTGACGTGTGTAGTGAGCATTTTCTGGCAGCCAGCCATCTACACCGCTGAGCTCCTGTCCTGCCTGCACCGCTTCCGGTTTAAATCTGTACCTGCTCGTGACAGCTTGAGATGGAGATATTCCCCACGGCCCTGGAGATCAATTAGAGTAACCCATTATATAATGACCCCTGCACGCTCTAGCACCTCGGCTACATTTTCCTGAGTAGCAGCTGATGAGCGTCCCTACAAACGTGCAAATGTCCTGGCCAGCTGCAATTTAATCTCCCACAAGGTGTCAGAGTCTCAGCTAGGTTGTTACCTCGCCGACCAGCCCCACGTCTAAAATTACTGTGTCATTATCTTTCAGTGCTTTTTAATGTGGAGTCACCGTCAGGCCATACATGACTTTGTGCACCAAGGATCAATAGACTAATGCTAATGAATGGTACATTTGACACCTTGATGCATTTCTATGATAATTCAACTCAGACATGAACTGGGACAATCAGCTGAGCTCTATCCTGTCAGTGGCAGATGGCAGCGTTGCAAAGATGAGGGTGAGTAGATTCAAAATGCCTTATTTATTAGACTTGCTGGCAATAACAGAAACACATTTTATATCCATGAAAGGAGTTTGCAACACAGGAGAGTCTTCACTGTGGTCTTGTGGTTATACTGTGGTCATTATTGGAGCTATCTGTAGATGGCAGTAATGCTCCACTAGTTTAGTTAATTCAGATTAAAGATAAGAACTAATTGTGAGAGTTTGGAAATTCCCTTTTGAGTTTGTGTTTTTCTGTGTCTACAGGAGAGACTGACCTCACCAGGGAAATTCACCAAAGTAGAAGAAGGTGGGTGAATTATTACAGGTTTCTGATTATGACTAAAAGGGGGAAGTGTATGTGTTCCACCCTTTCAAGCTTCACAATAACGTGCAGATTACAAACTCATTTGACTGGCTATAAGCCTTTCCCTCACGCGCCTCTTACTCTCCAGACTTGTTTCCAGTGAAGGATAGGGTTCATGATTCAGATGTCGACCGTCCTGCTCTTCCTCTCCGGGTCCCCCCTCTCCGACAGCCTTCCCCATCTCTCAGTCCTGGTGTTCAATGGGCAGACCTTGCTGCTCTCCAGTCACAACTCCAGATACAGAGCCAGGTGTGTTTAATCAAGCCAGGTGTGCAAGATCAGATGATTAGGTGCATTATACTGTTGTTAGCATTGACAGAATTCCAAATATCTTCTCCAATGTCTTTTCAAGGCGATTGAGTCTCTCACTCAGAAACTCCACGACATGGAAAGGGAGAGACGGTCTCAGCAATGTCACATCGACACACTACAAGGTAACCTACTGCACCTGTTTATACTAGGTCACATTATCACCTCATAAATAAAGCAAAACCTGACTCCTTTTATTATCAAGGATTTCTTATCACATTCAACACTGTTTAATGTGGCCACACCCACACTAAGTTAACAGGTCACATATGAAAAATATGGAATAACAATGCACAGTGACGTTTTTAGGCTGCTGCATGCAACATATGTTATATATAACAAGTGTAAATACAATGACATATCCAGTTTATGTCAGCACAGAATTATTCACAGTTCTTTCATTTTAAATCTTATTCATGCCTGCATAGCGACCAGTCTTGAATACTTCACCTGTTTATTTTTGGACCAACCAACACCTTCACTTAATTCAAGACAACCACTCTGCTTCATGCCTCCTTTGGCTGACCCGGTTAGTGTTAATTCAATACATTACCATTTGTGTATATACAACAGTGCCTGGTCTCACCCTTGCATACACTTTTGGACTTCTTTTCCAGCATTGTTCTGCTAATTACCTGAGATCCTCCTACAACAAGGTTGTGTGTCCCTCAGTGGAAGAAAAAAAAATCTTACTGTTGCTTTTTGATTAGTATCTTTGAGAACTTTAAGAGAACTTAAAACACACTTTCACTCATTGGTCTTTAACTACATGTAACCCATTCAGCTGCTAAACGTTTCTTATAAAACACTATAGACCAACTGTGTTGTGGTTGAAATGATTGGTAAACAAAAAAGAGCCTTTATTTCCAAAAGAGGAAATATGTTCCACTATCAGGTTCCACTATGATTATTTCATATGATCAGTTTAATTTTACTTATGTGGACGGTGGAACCAGTACAGGAAAGTGTGGCCTCAATTTTATGGTGTGTGTGCTGGTGCTGGTCGACCAGGACCAGCACACGCTATCAACACTAGCAAGAGAAATTACATTTTTCACACATGGTCTCATTTATTTAGATTAATAATGATAAAATGTCGTATTTTATTCTTTGATCTACTGTGGCTAGTATTATACCTCATCTGTACGTTGCTTGGACAAAGGTGTCTGCCAAATTAATACACGTGCAATAACATTTTGATGTTTAAAAATGCTGCCTCACCTCTGCTCATAAGTTCAGTTCTGGCTAAAGCTCCCTCTCCTGTGCCTCCTCTACTCACTCCCCACCCCTCTACTGTCTGAAAAACCAAAATACACTCATCAAGGGGGGATTCATTCATAATTAAGGACATTAATAAATTATTTAGATTTGTCCACAAGGCTGCTTAAGGAGCACAAAAAAATCCCTTCTTCATAGAAATCTCTCTTCTTTCCCAGAGGAGGTTCACAGGCTGAGGGAGAGGGAAAGAGAGAGGGACGAATCGAGGAGGGGACAAAGTCCAGGAGCAGAGAGAAGGATGGAGCAGTGGAGGAGAGAGGTCGGACGTGAGCTGAGCAGTCTGCGGGGACACATCACGAGAGCCACGTCGCTAGGCAACCTGGAGGAGAGGTGCATTAGGGGTGGAGCTGATGACTAAACTGATAATAGGTCCAGCTCAAGATCGAAAATGACATGAAAACGTTAACACATCAGTTTGCTACTAGGAAGGTGTCTGGGTGACATTTTCATTTTGGGGAAGACGGGTATGACCGTTTTATCTCCACTTTTTGTTCTATCCCCACAGTTTCAGCTCAAAGCTTCGCCGGGAGGAGCTGGAGCACCTGCGGAGAGAAGTGGACCAACTGAAGACACGACTAAGTGAGTCACGCTCTTGCATTGATCGTGCCCAGTGCTGCTTGGCAAAGCCAAGGCAAGCAGAGTCTTGTTCATAACGTCTGCTCTTTGTTTTCCTCGTGACAGGAAGACAGGAGGAGGACGTGTTCCTCCACCAAGCAGAGGCCAGAGAGACCAGGAGACAGTATGAACACAGCTGCAAGGTACGCACACATTGTGTCACACAGGTTGTGTTTGCTGGTGGTGTGTGGTTTACCTTTACCTTTCCTTTCCTTTGTGTGCTTTGTTCAGACACTGGAGGAGCTGACAGACAGCTATAGAACTCATAGCACTGATCTGGCAAAGACAGTCTCTCAGTATTCTCGCACGCAAGAAGAGGTCCGGCAGATCAGGTGGGTGGGGGGTGTGTGTGTGTGTGTGTGTGTGTGTGTGTTTGGGGAGATTTACAATATGTTACAATTAATCTCTTGCAACAGAACAACCGTGTCAGAACTGAGGGAGGAAGTAAGGAGACTTGTTCTCCGAGAACGTGAACCAACACCTCTGCTGTCAGCGCACAGACCTGGCAAGTCTCTCCACGTTCTCTGGCTCTCACACAACACACACACAGCATTATTTAACCACGTCTTTCTGTTTGATTCAGGGGCATCACAACACCCACTCCCTCACAGCCCCGGCAGAGGGGTTAGAGTTGAAGAGCCGGACTCTGACTCAGAAGACTTTAGCCCAACCCCGAGCCTGGCTGAAGTCAGCTCAGATGATCTGTCTTGGCTGGATGACAAAGATCCTGGTGAGGACGAGTGAAAATGCACCCAAGCATGGTTGCCTTGTGCACCTACAGATACTCGAGTACGGCGTGCTGAGTTATCAGCACCACCTGTTTCACATGGTATCATTTCCACAAGCCTTCTGTCCACCTTCATGCACACCAACAAAAACAAGTTCTGACAATTGGATCACACGCTCCAACCAAGACAGAACGTGACGCAAGGCGCCAGAAGGGCACAGGCTGATGACGCTTTTAGCAAGATGGGACCTGTACTTTCCCCCTCCCGTCCCTCCCCCACACATCTGGCTCAGCCTTCACTCTGATTCATCTCAGTAGATGTGACTCAGCAAGGGGAGCACTCAGCTGTGTGTGCCACTTCAGCATACTGTTAAAGGAGTAGTTTGACATTTTGGGGAATATGCTTACTTTGCTGAAAGTTAGATGAGAGGATTGATAGCACTCTCATATCTGTTCTGGAGTCACTGCCTGTTGTCTTGCAATCTCACAGTGATGACAGCACTCCAGGAAGTCACATTTCCTAGCCAATAATAGTCTTGTACATTGTACATGTGGTTTTTACTCTTATGTTTTTGCGTGGATTAAACAAACGCAATATAACATTTTAACCTCTGTGTTTGGATGTGCTGGTAGGCATATATTATCTTTGGAAAGAGCCAGATTAGCCGTTTCCTCCCTGTTTCCAGTCTTTATGCTAAGCTAAGCTAACTGTCTTATGGCTGTGGCTTCATGACATACAGTCATGACAGTGTATTGATCTTCTCATCTTATTCGTGGAAAGAAAGTGAATAAGCACATTTCCCAAAATGTTAAACTATTCTTTTAAATATATCACAAGAGGACAATCCATGATGAAGGCAGAGAAGTAGTGTAAAAACAGGCGAGAGGAAAGAAAATGTTGAAATGAGAAATAAAAGAAAAGTGAGGAATGTAGTCTGGAGATGTTCAGCACCATTTTAGCAAGTTTGTAGGCCTACTGTGTTTTTTTGTCTGCAGATAAAGCAGTAAAGCTCTCATTTCCTCTCCACCAGTCTCTGTGAAGCCAGTTTTCTTGTGTGTGTGTGTGTGTGTGTGTGTGTGTGTGTGTGTGTGTGTGCGTGCGCGCGCGCCCAGGCACCACTCACCCCTGAGACTTACTGTAACAGAAGGTTGATGTTCCCGGAAGAGATTACAATCTCTGCACTAAATGTTTCTTTGAGTGATTTGGGTCCATGAAGCCAGGCTAATTTAACGATTGTATCCACACACACATATGCAGTTATACTGGTACACAGTTGTTATGGGAAAACGTTTGAATGTCTTCCAGGCTAATCCCACCGGAGGCACTCAGTCACTCGCACACAAGAAATAACTGCTCCTTCTCTGCTCTTCACCTCTGCCAGCTCTTCAACAGAAGCCGCGAGTACGTCTGAGCGTTCAGTCCCGACGGAGTGACTTTGCTGGTCCGGAATCAGATCTGGAGGATGATGATGATGATGATCCCCTTGATGACGACGTGAACCCAGATTTAGTATCTGACCTAAGTCTCGATGACCTCTGACCTTTTTTAAAGGTGACGTTCTGTAATTTCACTTGGGAAGAATTCAGCAACAAAGACATTTCTTCCAGCTTCTCCAATACACTACCTGAGATGTATTATTACTTTTAAACTGATTTGTTTTGATCACTTACAGTTTGTAGTTACAGCCCTATTCTTATGAACAAAATAGAAACAGTCTGTTCAAACGGCCATATGGCTTATTTCCTTTGTGGTCCTAAGGGAAGGGGAACGGAAACAAAGGATGGCTAATGGCGTGGCAACAGAAACGCATACATAACAGCAAGTAATTAAGTCATCCTACTTAGTCTTATTACTGTTGTTTAACAGACCTGCTTGGACATATGTGACACATAGTTCATACATTTGGGGAAACTTTCTCTTAGTGTGGGAAATTCTCAAATGCTAAGTTGTTTGTGAGAAAATCAGAAGTGTTAGGGACTCAGGACTGATTACACTCTGTCAGACCAACAGGTTAATAACTGCTTTTTGTTTGTTTTTTCAAATAGATTTCCAATTGCTAATTCGTCTTTAAACAGTCTGATCCCATGTGACACACCCAATCCCCTGCTACCACATTGTTCTAAAACAAACCACCAAAGGATTCAGCAGATGCTACCTGGTTGATATCTCTTCGTTTGAAATACTATGCGTCAAAGTATTGTTTCTCCTCAGTCTAGTTAGTGACGTCTGCTAATGGCTGTGGACAAAGGACTGTTCTCTTTAAATAATCTGCAGTAACCGTCTCCACATGCACAGACTGGTAGGATACTGGGAGCACACTGTGGAGACAGGCAGGTGTTTAAAAAGCTGAGATCTTTGAGAGAGCTTCTCATTCATTTGTGATGGTGGATAGCAAAGCTTTGTGGCAGAGAAGTTGCATTTTTGGAAGCAGCTTTATTCCTCACTGATTTTGAGTCAGTCACCACCCAATGGATATAATGGTTTCATTTTTGCCACACCCTCTGAACCCATGTTGCGAGTCGACGATAATTTCCTACCAGTGTTAAAGGAGAGGAATGCTGTGATTTTTCTGCTAAACCACAAGGTTTAGTTTCAGGCAGAAGATTTTACAGTTATGTTAAGGTTTATGATTACAGATTGTTGGGGTAAGGGAAAGTTATGGGGCAGTAGACTTTCATCTCTGCCCATTACTACAGTGGAATCAATAAGAACACCACTGATCACTGTGCTTTTGATTTGCACAATTATTGCCCACAATATTCTTATATTGACTTAAGTTGGTAGTTTTGAATCAATCGGTTTGCTTTACAGCAGATTTAACTTCAAAACATTGCACTTTGATGTCCAGTATAGGGCTTCAACTAACGATTATTTTCATTTTTGATAAATCTGTCGATTATTTTGTCATTTAATCAGTTAGTTGATTAGTTTCTATAACTACAAACTGCATCTCATCTGTTGTGATATGACAATGAATTGTAAAGTCTCAGAAAACTGTGGAAAATGTGTTTCCCAAAGCCCAAGATGATGTCCTCAAATGTCTTGTTTCATCCATAACTCAAATATATTAAATTTACTGACATAGAGGAGAAATTAAACTAGAAACATTACATTTAAGAAACTGGACTCAAATAATTTTTCTTAAACAATGACTCAAACCGATTAATAGATATCAAAATAGTAGCCGATTAATTTAATAGTCGGCTACTAATTGACTATTTTATAACTCGTTGCAGCTCTATTACAGTAATAAGTGTAAAACTTCATAGTACTTTTTTTGAGCTTGAGTTCTGGTGAGCTACACTCTTCAGTACAGCAGTGTAATGTCTATTTAATGGGTTTTTAATCCTGACATAATGCACTCTAAAGTCCAGGAGGAATCTGATGAAGGACGGGGTTTTGATTCCTGGTAATGCAACTGAAGCAAAGGTAAAGAGGAATCAAAAGCCATTAACATTATCAAGGCGCCAACACCCCCAACCTCCACTGCGATGTCTTTATATACACTCTCAGTTAAGACGAGAGTCCTTTTATGCTGCCGTGTCTGACATGAGTCACACTGTGCCAGGCTAGGTGTCGAGCTGTTTAATATTTCAGCATCCAGACACCCCCCATCGACGATCCCAGACCACAGTGCAGAGCCACAGGGGAGCAGACAGGCAGGTCAAGTGTTCAGTGGGGTGTGAATTCGGAGCAATGGGTGTGGAAAGTGACCATAGACACAATCCAGTTCATCTAAAGAGACAGATTGTTTCACCAGTTAATAGTGAACAATAAAAGACCTTTTGGCAAACAGTAACTGGCACAAAGCAGTACATAACCGTATTTAAACAAACCTCTTTTAACACACTCTCCTTGTATAGCTGTAAATGTTGTATTTGAAGAGACATTTAATGAAGAAAAGGCTCATTTATTTGTTATTGTGGCCAGATAATGGCTGATGAATCAGACCCTTCTGCTGCAGTTTTATTGCATTTGCCAAGTATTGTGTAGTGGCGCTGTTGTAAAGCACTGCACTGATTCATTCACTAACGGTCTGTAAAGAAAAAGTTTATTTTTTGTCTCCAACAATAAAAGTCTGTGTAAAAGTTGAAAGAAAGGAGCTTGACTTTCTGTGGTTGCCTCTATCAGTGTTGTGTTCTGATTGTGCTTTTGTTTGTTGGTGATGTGGTCATGGAGCAGTTTACAACATGGGAAAAGAGGAAATACAGAGGATGGTTTCAAAATACTTTTAATCATAAAACACCAATGGCCCATTATCCACATCTGGCAGCAAAGCCTCATTATGCATTCAGAATACTTATAGACAATTTTAACAGTAATATCAGACATCTTAAGTGTGTGTAATTTAGAACTGGATGTACAAGCGGGTGATGAAAAGAAAAACGAGTGTTCAAAACAGTAAAATAAGGGAATACCTTTTAGGTGTTGTTCCCTCCAGTATTAGCCTTATTAATTTATTTTATTCCTTTAACTTGTCAATTGGAGCTAAAACTTGTAAAGTATTAGCTCCAATTGATTTCTATCTACATGGGTTGATCTGTCGTCTTGTATGTCTCACTTCCACTGACATTTTCCTGCACATTTGCAGAGCGAATACACAGTATAATCAATGGGACATTTGTATGCTGAGAGAACAGCGTGTAACATTTTCAAAATGATGCAAACGCTAATTGCAACTAAGATGAAGACTTTCATAAAGTTGTCTTTGCATGATGCAATCATCAGTAGTATTTACAACGCACAGCACAATGCTAACATTGTGTGGAAAGGCCACTGGCCAATTTCAGTCTGCAACTGTCAACTGACAAATAAATGAGTGCCTCATGGTGAACACGCTCAAGGCTATTCTTCAAACACAGGCAAGTCAGAGCGGCTACCTGGCCCAGAGCGTGTGTTTTAAATGGGAATCTCACAAAGTAAAGGAATGACTGGTAAATCGGGAAGTTAGTTGGTTTGTACATAAATACAGTATACAATAAGAGCTGTTCCTGTACTGTGTAAGGCACTCTCTCCTGCACTCAAGACCGCAGGAAAGAAACAAAAGATGCACACTGCACAAATCAAAATCAGGCCAGAAGGCAGCAGGACCTTCAACACAGAAACTGAAAAAAAGAGAAAACACTTAAATATCCCCTGCCATGCCTTCAAAAATCCATACATGCACCTTAACAGACTCACACACCTACAAACGCACATACTTATGTCCCTGCACTCAACGAATGCAAGCAAAACTCAAAATATTTGTCCTATTCTTTTTTCTTTTTTTTTTCACTATTAAAAAAGTAAAGTGCAACCTCTTTAACACTATAATCCCTTAAGGTTAATTTCTTTTCTCTGGCCTATCAGTCAGACTGGCAGAACTTTTTTTTTCTCTACCAGGCTTTATAACATTAACTGATAACTGGGAATTTAGACCAGTGTGCCCAGGTCAGAGTCTGGCAGGACAGGCTGAATCTGTGTCCAGGTGCGAACCACCCAAACGACGGATACAACCGATGATGTTGCCTCTTGCTTTTTACTTACCCCATTCAACTCGAGGGAAATCAAAATGTATTATACAACTCCCCTACCCCAAAAGATGGGCTGAAAAATATTAAGCATACGGTATTAAACAGAGGCGCTGGCCTAATTTGTAATTGTACCGAAATGGTCAAAAACAGCCCCAACGTGGGCGATATCTTCATTGTCCATTGCACCTTCAATCATGTCCTTTCCTACATGTCAGTGAACTAGATAAATGAAAGCAATCCAGAAATTTGCTCACACCTACCCAGAATTCTTTCTGTTTGGTGCAGATTAAGGAAGAGAGACCAGGTTCGACAAGCGCTGCGGCATGAGCCTGGATTCAAAGAGAGTATTTGGGAGCCAAATGTTTCAGTCGTGCCTCCATCAGTAGCTGTACATGGACAAGGGTGTGTCCTCCATCATATCGTCCTACACAGAAAAGATTGAATAACATAACTAAATATACACAGCTTATTTGCTTATTACATGCTAAGACATGTTTACTATAGAGTTTGTGGTACCACTTTCTAATATGTCACCCTTTATAAAGGGCTTATAAGTTGTCATAATCAATCATAATAAACGTTTTAAGATCAGTAAAGCCATTAAGAAAAACAACTTTGTGAAAAGTCTCCATGGCTGGTGAGTCATTAATAGTCAAGTAAACAAAGGAATAGCTTGACATTTTGGGAAATAGTCTGATTCACTTTCTTGCCAAGAGTTAGATGAGAAGAACTTCCTCTAAAGCTCTTTAATAAACATGTTTTTCATTGTTTATTTAATCCATACATAAAGTGTAAAAACAACGTGGTGTTATGGGTGGTTATGTGCTAGAACTGGCATGGTAATGTTGTGGTGTCTCATCATCATCTTAAAATTGCTATGCATTGAGTGGTGACTCCAGGCTAGCTGGTTCCCCCTGTTTCCAGTGCAGTTTTGTGCTAAGCTAAGCTAACCTAAGCTAACCAGCTGCTGGCTGTAGCTTGTTAATACACAGACGTCCACATCTAACTTTTGGCAAGAAAGTGAAAAAACATATTTGTCCATGATATGTAAGTCTGCACTTTTAAATGTAAAAAAATTTGAAGGATAAGCAGGATAAACCCCAGCTTGGAAACCCAGAAGTTGTTCTGTTCTTGTACAGTCCCATCTATAAATCCATTAATAAATAACTTATTAACCGTTAATAAAGCCATTAGTTCAACACATATATAATACAGACTGAGAGGATGAGAGATGAGAGGAGGCAGACTCTGTGTTGCTTGGTGCTCAAATGCAGTCAAGATGGACACTGTTTCCCAAATGTCACTGACTTTTTAATGATGATTAAACCATATTATCATCTTGGTGTTGTTGTTTACATTCTCCTCAGATGCAGTCTACATACATGTATACGTGTCTGTAAATATGTAAATAAATAACTGTATATAGCCTATTGTTTTATTTTATTTTACTTAATTTATATGTTATTTTAATTTATTATCTGTTACATTCTGTGTGTGTATCCTGAAGGGACTACAAACTTTCTTTTCGTTATACAACCTTGTGTTGTATAATGATAAATAAATTACCTGGTGATATGGTTGGTAGCATGCTGTGCATTAGTACTGGGAGGTTGTAACAGTACATCTGATATCTAACAATGTCTGACTGACTGAATATTTCCACTGAGACAGCAGTGGATGTGTTGCCTGAATTTCATTGATGTGCTCACCATAGGTAGGTCCTGCAGCCTGCGGAACTCTGGCCGGTTGTCTCTTCGTCGCAGTTTGAGGAAGATGAGCAGAGTGATGATGACAGCAGTGATGATGAAGGCTGACACCAGGCCAGCCAGGAGGGGGTCTAGTGTAGGAGACTCATGGACCATCGTCGCTGGAACAAAGACGCAAGAGATAAAACACGCTGGCCATCCACCATTAAAAATTTTACTTTGACTTAACGTGGTGCAGATAGTAGAATTACAGCTTCTTAAAAGATCATTTAAAGCTGTGACTGGAGCTAAAAATAGACACTACAGCAGTATGTTGAGCTTAAGTGTTCACGTAGCTCAGGACAGAAATGTCAAACACAGGACAGTGATGTTAAGCTTGCCTGTACTTGAACTCTCTGTTGAGTACAGTCATTTATAAGGGCATCATTTACAGCTTTCTTTTTTAAAATTACAAAATTACAAACAGTTTATATTGTTTGTGCCTAGAGCACAGTATTTTTTAGCTCAGTTCAGTGTGTTGTTTAATCTCTGACAACATCATCACTCTTGACCTTTCCATGTTGACATTTCTCTGTTTTTGTATATTTCTGTGCAGGAGAAGTTTGTGTCTGAGTTTTTTTGGAAGTGGATGGATGTTGCTATGGAAGACTATTTTGTAAACGTAGCTGTTTTTTATTTTTTTATATCCTCTGGTTTGAAAGTAACAACCACAGCAGTGAATGCTCCCTGCTCCTCTGGCTAATGGAAAGAGGCGAGGTGCCAAGCGTGGCAAACCACGCAGAGTGAGAGAAGCAGAGCGAATTTTACATTTTAACTGTATTCAAGCAGGCTGGTCAACTGAGAAGAGTCATTCGGGCTCTCCTTTTGTTTTGCGATGATGTCCTGTTGTAAGTCCTCTCAATGTGGAAAGACAATACATAGCTAGAGAAACATCTACCGTAGATATGTAAATCATTCAGCAGACAGACAGAGTGCGAGAGAGACAGAAACAGAAGGAAGACGCAGCATTCTTGAGGGCTCGAGTCCCATGACTGCCTCTGTCTCTTTCCCAAACAGAGCCATGATTGTGGAGCGCTTGGTGGTGACAGTGCTTGTAGAAGATGTAGACGGGGGGGGCATGGTGTGTGTTTGTGTGCGTGTAGAAAGGAGGACTGGCTTGTGCTGGAAAACAAAGAACAGCGTCGCCTTTGTTGTTAAGCCAGTTCACTTCTGGCTCTGTCAACGTCCAGGCAGTGAATCGTCCAGAACAAATATATATACAAACACAGAAGATATCAGGCACTTACTGTCACCCCCAATGTTGAGCTGGGAGGGGGTGTTGTCTTGGGCTTTTTGGGCTTTGGGCTCGGCGGAGGGGCTGCTCGGAGGGGTGATGGTGGACATTGGGTGGGCTTCACTGGAGGTCTCAGGATTTCCATCGGGCCGTAAAGTGTTCTGTGGAGATGTGAGCATTGGCGGCTCAGAATTGGCGGGCTCTAGAGGGGAGCTGGTGCTGGATGTTGAATTAGACTGGAAGGTAGTGGTAGTAGTAGTGGTAGTTTGGGGCTTTGATGGCTCAGCTGTTGTAGTATGTGGGACATGGGTGGATGAGTGTGTTTTAGGGAGAGCGGGCTGGTTTGATGGTGTGGTGGAGTCAGGAAGTGGAGGTGCAGCAAGATGCGATGTGTTTGCGAGTGATGTGGTGGTCAGTGTGTGTGCAGGGGTAGCGTGAGCTGTGTGTGTGGGGCTGGTAGTGGTGGAGGTAAGGGGGATGTGAGAGGTGGGGGCGTGGCTCCCAGAAGGAGGAATCGGAGGCTGCAATGTCGGCTGATCTGTTGGGTTTCTATTCTTTTCAGGATCTGCAACATCTGAGGGAGACACGATGCTGGTATCTACATAAAGAGAAAGACAACAGTATCATAAAAAACATGCAATTCTGCTGGGCAAAGATTTTTCTGCTGTTGAGCAAATAAACATGCTGAACACTGTTTTGTATGTGCATTAAATGTGTTGAAGTGCCTGACATGAGAATGTGGGGCATTAAAGGGCCAGTTCAGCCAAATTACAAAAGAACATTTTCTCACTTTCCTCTGCTAGCCATGCTTTTATTTGTCCAGGTCTTAAGATATTCCTCTCTGAGATCTTTGCATCCACCGCAGCGCAATGGAGGTATAATGTGCTTTCACCAGAATTTCTTTCCAGAAATAGTCTCTATAAAAACTGCGGACTTTGTGTCCTGTGAATTGTTATTAAAAGGGACATTTATTCTGGAAACATGTTGCTGGTGATTGTAGCCATATGCTTTCAGCATGCCCCCATGGCTGTGCTGGTAGTAGAGTTGGTCTATTGGTCCAGACCGAAATATCTCAACAACTAGATGGATTGCCATGAAATTTTGTACAAACATTTGTGGTCAGCAGAAGATGAATCCTAGTGACTTTTCATCTAGCACCACCATGAGGTTGACATATTTGCTTTATACTGACATATCTTAACAACTATTGGAAGGACTGCCATTGTTGTGGAAAACATTTATTTTGCCTACATGTACTTCAATAATCAGGTATGTGTATTTACCTTGTGTACTTTGCTCCCTATTACAATGACACTATGTGTCAGTGTTTTTGGATAAAATGAACATCTCTGAGATTGTTTTGTCTTAAGCAAACTCCTTTCCTGTAAGAGAGGAGCTTCCGCTGTGGCTCAAGGCTTTTCTTGTAGACTCCTGCTGTTAAATGTTTCATACAGATATTCATCTTTCCCTGAGGGTGAATGGTGATCCCTTAACTTTTTGTTAATGACCAAATACTAACTGACATAACTAATGACATGCCCATCAGCCTCAGCTGTACCGAATGTTTAGCGCTACTTAGCAAATGTTTGCATGCTAACACACTTGAACATAGTAAACAGTATGCCTGCTAAGCATCAACATTAGTTAGCACTGTCATTGTGACCATGTAGCATGCTGTCATTAACGTTTGGCTCAAAGCACCACAGTTAGCGTGGCTGCAGACTTTTACTATTGTTAAAGTATACATTTCCACAAATACAAATATGTTCACCTCAATTGTATCAAGACAGAATACCTGGCCAAGAAACTGTCTGCATGGCTGGACGGAGATACCAACCTTTAAAGCTACGTAGCCTACATGCAAAAAAATGCTTTAATATGATCCCGCACCCACACAAAATAAACTAAGAGCCTAAAAATGTACCTAGCCCATGAATATGTTTATGAGTCTAATGTGTGAAGTGACATGTATTTGTGAGAGAGAGGTTGTGTGTGCCTGTGTGGGAGTGGGGGGGGAGGGGATTTCACTTCCACCTTTCTAACCCGCTTGTGAAAAGTAACACAGCATTTAATCACTTCTCCTCTCTGCTCAACACCAATTGAATCTCTTCTGACTGAGCTTTTCTCTGCGCATATTTTACCATTGCTCTCCCAACAGATTGCAACATATTTAATTAACTCAGTCACACCTTCTTTATTCCTTTTTTTACTTTTATCTTACACTATCTCAGACGATCTCTACATCTTGGTGCTCCAATGTTTTTTAAAGTTTTTTTTTAAACAAGGCTGAGTTCTCTGTCTCTGTCTCTTTCTGTGTTGTGTTTGTGTCAGTGTCACAGTTAAAGTCATCACCCTAATCCTGTCACTTACTCTGTGGCCCACTTCTGGACATGGAAAAGAGAGATAAGGACGTTATAAATAGCTCCTAAACACTGAGCCACCTGATGTATGGCTCCCTACTAAATCTAAAGTGTGACAGACCATCCCTAACATCAAAAACATGTTAGGTTCTTCAGTCAGAGCCATTGACCAAAACACTGATCAAGATCTGGAGTTGGTCCCCGGGCACTGCCCAGCGGCTGCCTACTGCTCCCTTCAGGGATGGGTTAAATGCAGAGGATGAAACTCGCTACATGTATGTGTATGTGACAAATAAAGTACCTTTACCTTTACCTTACTACTTAAACAGAAACAATAATCGCAACATCAGATCAGTGAATAATTCAGGATTAATAATACTGAGTTGCATAGTTACCATTAAATTTCTTCAGTTCCGCTGTCGAGGAGATGGTTTCCCCTTCTGTAGTCATGTTGCTGCTTGAACGGCTGGTGCCTCTTGAACTTGGATTTGTGTCGGAGCCATTCAGTACAGGTGTAGGAGCCTCGTGGATGACGGGGTCCAGGCTAGAAGCAGACCCAGCTGCTGGAGCCTCACTGCTAGGAGAACGTATTGGAGCAGACGAGGTAGCAGCATGGCCACCGCCTGACGAAGAGAGGAAAGAGTCATGATTGATGACGGTCTGGTGATGTCTTCAGAGTCATTAACAGCTGATTTGCTCATTATTCCAAGCGAACATTGGACGATAGACAGTGTGCAGAGTATGTCAGTCAGCACAGGCCAGTGTTTATCCAAACAACAGTTTATTAAAACTGAATATTGTATATACATACAGTATATTATGTATCCCGGGAAAGTTATCTCACTATGCAGATGCTTTCCAACGAAGCACTGCAGCACCTGCATGCTCAATACATCCACAGTCTTCTATCAATCAGTGAGCAGCTTCAGTGGAGCCAACAGGGGTTTAGTGTCTTGCTAAAGCGTTTGGTAAGAAGACACCTTCTTTTGCATCAGGAGCTAAATGCGGTAGTTCCTAACCATTTTGGCTGCCTTTAAAGTGAAGCAAAGTAAAACTACTCGTGACTCCTTTAGTTGTGACCAGTTCAACCAAAGACTGACGTTTTCCCTCACATGGTTGTAGAAAAGGTTTTAGAGGCCTAAAAAGCTAAAACTATCCAGTTTCCCCATTTCAAAAAGGAACAAAAAAACATAATTTGTGCAAAACACATGCTTCCCCCCAGTATTTTCTATTTTGTTAAACATGTCATGCCTCCTCAGATTTATCTTCAGACTTCTTGGTGGACCTGATCCCCAGGTTGGCAACCCCTGAACGGATACCGAGAATTGCAACGAAGCACAACACACGTCACATTACTGTAAAACATAATATCAGTACAAAGTAAAATGCATAAGGACTGACCACAGCATGAGACTTTTTAGTCTTTGAAGTAATGTCCTTTTAATGAAGACCTCCAATCTGTCTCTCTCTCTCTGTCTCTCGCTCTCTCTCTCCCTCCTCCGTCTTGATCTCTTTAGCACTACTGTACAAGTCTTCATTTCTGTTTCTACCTGCTTCCCTTTGATGAAGACCAGAGCACTAATGTATTGTAATGTCATTACTGTTCAGTAACACACTGCCATGATGCCTTTCATTACCTCCATAATCACTCACGCAGCTCATCAGCACACACAGTGAGAGAGAGAGAGAGAGAGAGAGAGAGAGAGAGAGAGAACTGTTTGAACTCTAAATGATACAAAAACAGACACGCTCATAAATAGACAGAGGTGCTTGGCTGTACAATACTGGCCTTGTTCCCTCACTCCCTAACTCCATTAGAGCTGCTTAGGTCAAATGTTGGGAGTTTTTTATATATGTGACTGTGTGTGTGTGTGTGTGCAGAGTAGAGTTATAAAGAGAACCACTGTTTCCACCATTGCACACTCCTCTCTCCAGATATTACAGGGCCTTACTCACAATCTTTCAGGCCAGTGCAGCATGTACCTAGGGAAGTAGCTCTTGCTCACTTCTTGACCCGGTAAGAGGAACAGCCAACCGTTTCTGTGCGAGCAGATGTCGGCTGCTTCTGCACTCGATGCTGCAAGTGCCTATCAGTAATGCCTGCTGTGTGAAACCCATCCAACTGCTGCTGTAAAATCCTACAAGCACTGGTTTCACAGCCTGTGGTCAGGGCATTTTTTTGAACAGCACAGATCATTTTGAACTGCTTTCCCTCCGTGCATGCTGTCCTTGCAAGGGTGTCACTTTGTGTTGAAAAGTGGTGGGGACATAGGGGCTCAGATTAGGGGTGTGAAGAGACACTTAGCTCGCAATACATCACAGTACGCAATATTACGTTGAGAACGAGACAAAAAGATCTTAAACAGTGTTTTAAAGATATCCTCGAAGATGAGATATATGAGGGGGTGGTCTCGGGGACCTCCCCCAGGAAATTTTGATCATTAAACACTTCATTTCCTGCATTCTGGTGAACATTCCTCCACCAATTTATGGTAGAAATGTTTTTATTTATGTAAAAGGAAACACAAAATTCAGGTGGCAGGTGACATTTCAAAATATATAAATATACTAGCAAATAGGTCAGTGCAGCTCTCAGGTATTCTGTGTTGCTTTCAGATCTATTTCTTCTGTAGATCAACTTTTTTCATGTAATATCATCCCTGCTGAGGCAACACACATGCGTCATGATTTAGTCTTCCCTCCTCTTTTGTCATGTTCACAGGGAGAGAGCAGAAAACTTGGCCAAAAACTAACTGTGTCAAGAATATTTTAAAGTTACTGACTGGACAATGCACATTTGTTTATTCTATATTTTAATTGCATTGCATGCTTTCTTAATGTGCAAATAAACCTTTGTTATTTGTTATTTAACTGTAAGCTATATTTCAGAACATTTTTTATTTTTTTATTTTTATTTTATTTTTTTACAAATTTTAAGTGGTGGGACAAAATCAGCCATTTCAAAAAGTGGTGGGGACATGTCCCCAGTGTAAATGACACCTATGTGTCCTTGGCCTTGTAAACCTGCACTTATTTTATATGTTTACTGCCAGCCTTCTCATTCTGCATGTCACGCGTCCAGCCTCCAGCCCCTAGCCTCCTTGGGTTGTCTTATTATGCCACATGTGAGAGCCTAAATTCACTGTAGTTAGTTAGTTATATGTTATTTATTGTGTCATGCTCATGAAATGGACTTCAGTCTCACATAAATCAAAAAACAGACAGAAATAACAGTATAGTCATTTAAAAAAGAAAAAAGATTTAGATGTTTGTAAATTATTTTCATAGTTTGTATATTAGTAAGATTTTAAAAAATTAGTTTACTGCACATGTGCAGTTAGTTTTATAACACCTAGAAGACAATAAAGGCTGATTTATTAATTTATTAGTCAGAAAGGAGACCAGTTGAGACTTAAACAAAAAAGGCTTTTGACCATATAACATGTAAAAAGGTAAGAAAGATGGGATATTTTTAAATGTTGCAGAGAAAAGTTAAGCGGGATTTATTTTTCTGGACAGTAATTGAAGGCTTGAGAGTATATTGAACATGTTAATAAACTGCCATTTCCACCCTTTCTTAGACTCATGAGTTATTGTCAACACAAAAAAGGGAAATAATTAATATCTGAATACAAGTTCTACCTGAGTAGCATCCTGGGGTTTTGATTTTATACTTTATGTTTATGCAAATATAATGCCATACAACCTGTACTGTATAATATGTATTCTGTATCATATAACAATATATTTTTATTGTATAAAGTCTGGTCACAGTGCTTTAAAATCTGTTCATAAAGTATCCATACTGTACTACAGAGGCGAGCCAATTAGCATGAACCAAGTAAAATGACAGTGTGCTGCTGCAGATAGTTAGAGGTGTCATTTATCAAAATGTACTTCCCTGTTCATTTACAGCCACTAAATGTCCTGCAATGGAGCTGAGCTGTTTTCTATTCATTTGAATTTCAGCTTGAGGAGCTGATGGGATGGTTCTGCCCAATAAAATCTTTTCAGATGTCAATAGTCTCATTTTCCTTTTATGTGAGAGGCACTGAGGGAAGGTAGCAGGAGGAGGAGGAGGAGGAGGAGAGAAAGCAGAAGGTGAGTGAAATACAGGATGTGTGAGAGGTGCATTAAGATAAAAAAGAGGAAGAAGGGGGAGGGGGGAGGGGGGTGATGAGAAAGATAAAGTGTGAGGCTGTTCAAACAAACAGCAGAGCACTGGATGTCAGAATTTTAAATAGAAATGGAAAGAAAGCTGTGATTTGTAAAGGGAGGCCGGTTTGAAACTGAAACACAGCTTGACTGGAGGAGGTGGGAACCAGGTTTGTCCACCTCTGAGCTTGAGGAGGGTTGAAAGAAAGCACACAAGAGGAACTAAAATGTCCACACTCAACTGTGTCTTTATGGTGCAACAAGCAGGAACTTCACACTGAAAACTCACTTCAGCTCTGTCAGTGTAAATCTCTGATCAACAACCCAGGTGCCTAGAGACAAGATTAGAGAGTGTGCGTGTGTGTGTGTGTGTGTGTGTGTGTGTGTGTGTGTGTGTGTGCAGGCCTGTGAGGGGTGGTGGTACAGTGAACCATTATGACAATTTCTATAAAAAATCAATCAAACTGGAAACAGGAAAATAATCCAAAGTCAGTAGATGAAATAAATAGAAGATTTTAAAACAAGCCACCTACTGTGTTCAGTGTTTCCCAAGTGAACGAGCAGCAGCGCACAAAGGGCCATCCAGAGTTTGGTCTCCATCATCTGTCCTCCGGCAACACAGTAAGAAATGTACCAACGCAAATGTAGTTCTCTCTCGTCTTTTTCTTGTCCGATCCTAGACTTTAACGGAGCAGTTTAGAAATCCCAGGCAGTTACTACCCACTGCAGACAGCGGTTCTGCCAGTGTGTGCGTGGCTGGAGGGACTGAAGGAGGAGTGTGTGAGTGCCGACTGCCCTCTCTCTCTCTCTCTCTCTCTCTCCAGAAACAGTGCCACGTGTTCCCTGTTCAAAATAGTCAGTAGCTCTGACTCTGTGCCATGACGCTTGTTCAGTAGGAGGACTGGCAGCAAAGAGCACATAAGGGCATGTTCATCAAAGCAAGAGAAAACCCGCAACTGCTGTCCCACAATGTAGGCCCATTACAATGCATCAACTGCTGCCACAGAAACCACGGCAGAGTTGAAGCAACGCCTCTGACAGTCGCAGAAGTAAATATTTTAAACGTCCTTATGTTCATCTAAATATTTGACATTTGAAGCATTTTGTCAGCAGCACAAAAATCATGCAAATGCACGCTGCTGGATTTCACAAGGTGTTCCTGTTATTTTGTCCACCATTTCTACTCAGTGACTGTATCCTAAAAAGCTTATAGTAAGTCTATTTTATGCATTTTGCTGTTTATTTGTTAATTCACTTATTCATTCTGTATTATAAACACCCCTAAACGTTGGGTGTTTTATTAACCTCTTACATATCTATATTATATTATTATATATTATGTTTGTATTGTGTAAATGTAAACCTAGTTATTTTTTTTTAGAATTTCTGCGGCCTAGCCTATGTTGCCTACATGAAGATATTAATCAGTAGCCTAAATAAAAACAAGTGTAGCCTGCATCCTGGACAACATGGGTAGTTTGTCACGATGAGAAATCTATTGGTCAACAATGTAAAAATAAAGCCATTTGACTTGATCCGGAAGCTGTAACTGTATCATCATCACTTCTTTTCTTTTTCTTTTTTTTGCCGTTGTTGTTGCATGACTGGCGTTTTCTACAGGGCGTTTTACTGTACTGCGATGTCTTCATTGGCCCACGTGGTGGCGCTGTGGCTCTACACCTGATTCCTTGGAAACGCACACAACATTGCAAAATTTCTCTGGAGGATGAAGTTCCAACGACATGACACTGTTACAAAACACGCTGCTTTTCAACAGCCCACAATAATTTAATTCACCTCCAATGAGCTTCTTTGTTCTCAGCTATCTTAAAAAGATTAGGGGCTATTGTTCACTGTAGTTGGTGTTTGTTATGAATGAAAAGTGTTTAAAAGAACATAGTGATAGGCTATGAGCCTGTTTTCATCAACATGTTGACCTTTGCATCATTTTTTATGACAGCAGGTTAGGGGGTTTCCACAGTTCGTCTGCTAATTCATTGATGTGTTTGTTTTAAAGGGTTTGGGCTTATACAGAGGTATTGTCTGACTACACTGTTGTCTAAAGTGTATTTAATTGCACATTTATTGTTTATATACATCAGATCTGATGCCATTTTCTAGTAGGCTGTGTGCAGGAGAAGTCTGTGTGCCACAATCTAAGGTCTTTGGGGGAAATCTATAAAGTATACAGAGATTTTCATGCTGCCCCATAAGTTAACTGGAAAGTGGGATGAATGATGAGATGTGTGGTAGAGGTTTTGTCTGGGTTTACAGTATGTGAACATTTTTTAATGAAAATGAAAAAATAGGCAATGTGTGGTGATGTGTAATTACTGACAAAAGGGAAAACTATGTAAATGTTTGTGGAACACAAGCTATTGTATGAGTCAATCTATTCAAATGATTTTTAGAAGTACACTTTTTATTTGAGTTTTCCATATAGCCCATGTAAATTCCTTTCCAAGCGCATAATCCCTGTGTCCCCTGCAATATATTCAAACCGCAGCATCTGTTGAATATAAACCAGTGTGCTGCTGCTGGTGCTCAGTGTAACAGGCTGGAGCATGCTCATTTTCTCTCTACCACCCGCCTTTAGTAAACTGAGTCTGTAGTTGATTTGTCTCTAAACAGTGTCGCTGTGAGCTGACCAGATGATCATTGTGTTGTTGGCGAAAACCATAAAACGCACATACGCTCTCGGGTGGCAGTTCTGAAACATGCGCACCCTCTCTGTAACGCGTGGTCCTTACCACTCCCGTATTCCAATAGGCTATGTAGGTTTTGATGCTGGTTAAAAGGGTGTAAAGTAAAAAATGAAAAACACTTAATGTTTCGCAAACAGACTGTGTCAGATGTGTGAGCAGCTGGATACAAATAGGAGCTAGTAGCCTACAGACAGCCTGATTTCCCATTCCCATTTTTATAGCTCCACTAGCCCCCCAACCTGGATGGTCCCAGGTTGACAAGTGATACACATGTGGAGGGTTTGTGGGTTTATGGGATACATGACTAACAACAATATTAATTATTTTTTTTTGACTTCAGTTCAGTGCCCCTGGCACCAGCTCAGCTGCATCTTCATAATGTGAGGGTGACATTTCATTGAACTGAGGGGGGGGGGTGCCGCATTCAAATGTTCACATACGAGATGTCCAACGGCATTTGACCGCAATTACTGACAAAACGAAACCGAAACATAAGATAGCAGTTTAAATTAAATGTTTTAATGACAAACTGGGTAGAAACGGCATCTAACATTTTCACTTTTAATAATAAGTTGGTAAGGAAAATAGTTGTGTCTGTAGGCTATGTAGCCTATCTGGTGGCCCTTGAACAGTGACGCTGTGATTACGACATTTCCCACAGTGCTTGAACGTAGCACCAAGCCCTCGGTGGGAGCAGAGGCAGAAAAGCGGCAGGGAGCTGCCAGCATCGTCTCGTCTCATACCGTCGCAGGATAGAAAGGTGTGGAAATCTTGGTCCTCTAGACAGCCTAGAGAGTATACACGGGGACGACATTGTTTTGATAATGCTTTCACACTCTGAAAATGCTAGTTCACATATCTCGCTTGGTTGCCTTTGGCACTAGGGTAGCGTCAAGTTACATGAATTGCTACGTTAGCTAGTTTGGCGTTAGCATAGTGGTGCTAGCCGTTGCTATAGTATTTTCCTATAGTGAAGGTTAGCGTCCGCTAGCCTGCTCCTAAGTTAACAGAGCTAACGTTAGCTTGCCGGTTAGCTTCTCGTGTCTAAATTTGTGATGCCGTCTAGCTAATTTTCACACTCCGATTGCTTCTGTGGAATATTTTGGAAATGGCACTGTCTGTAAAATGAAGTTCGACGGCGGCTGCCAGCTTTTGAATGTGTTGCTCCTCTTTGATCATTTGACAGCTCCTTGTCAGCGGGGATATGGAGACGCCGGGGAGGATAGCAGCCACACCGGACGCCCTGGACTTCACGGTGGAAAACGTAGAGAAGGTGAGTTTTTGAGACCAGTCAGTCATTGTCAGCAACCCTGTCAGCTTATACAGCATCCAGGGTTTGTGGACCAAAGAGAAGCGGTCATGGTTCAGCTCAAGAGGGAGCTTTATCTGCCGTGTAGCCATAATCATTCGTACAGTCTGGAGTGATAATGTTGCTGTGTTTGCATACAGGAGGAGTTTAGCTCACCTGTCCATGTAACATCTGTCCACGCGTCTTTAAATTAGTCTTTAGTCAATGGCTGGAGATCAGAAAGAATGATCAGAAGAGAGATTCAAGAAAATAACAGGTTGGAGCCCGCCAATTCCTGGCCATCTCTGTTATTGTATAATGTCTGGGTCTTGTTTTTGTCTTGGAGCGTGTGTGTGTGTGTGTGTGTGTGTGTGTGTGTGTGTGTGTGTGCGCGCGCGCGTGCTTGGCAGTGTTGACTGTGGCTGCCAGGCTCTGTGATGAATCTCCCTGCTGGGTGGCCACTGATTCGGATGCAAGGTGATGGGGTGGGGAGACAATGGGGAGGAGAGAGAGAGAGGGAGTGAGAAAGGTGCTCCTGTGGAAGAGCAGAGTCAATGTGATGAGATGGGGGGGGGGGGTCGATGTCTGTGACAGTGCCAGTAAAGAAACAGGAGGAGGTTGGCGATGCGACAGAAATGATTAGAGGCAGGTTTGAGGGAGAGAAGCACATTCCTGTGTGTGTGTGTGTGGGGGGGTGATAACTGTGGTTTGTGGTGTAATAAAGGATGTAGGCGAATGACAAACGATAAGGTCCTGTCTTTTTATTCATTTGGTCATGCTTCATGTCTACAGGTGAAGGAACTGGAGGATAGCAAATGCATGAAGGAAATGCCAAACACTAGTACATTGTATGCATACCTATGTAAATGTATAATTAATGTATGTTATGATGCATTAGAGTGTTTTGTTGAAAGTAACTCATACCCAGCCTTGTAGAGGTTTGCATGGAAGTTTTCATTAGATCCAGCTAATCCAGCTACTGTTTATTCGGGTTTTCCGGTATTTGAAGTGTCCCATCTACAATGGAAGTGAAACCTTGCTTGCCTAAATATCTCCAGTGAGCAAAAATAGTGCATGATATTCATAAAAAAAAACAAAAAAAAACAGTCTGAGCCACCTGTTAGATGTACTTTTGGCATTCAGTGATTAATTTGATGATCTGAAAGAGGAGAAGCTTGCAGTGGTTAAATGTTAGTGTAGTGATAAACGGTTTTAAATAAAAAAGTGTAGGAACGTCATCTGTGATGTCACCGCAGTGTATGTTTACACACTGAACTCTGACCTTCAAATGGATTTGTTCGCCCACTTTTTAAGATGCCGGGAAACAGTAGAAAGCAGACACTAAAATACCATGACAAAATGTCATGGTGTTTTATTCTAATTTCTTTCTATTTTCATGGATTTGTACAGTTTAAGGTGCATTTTCAGATCCTGTTAAAGCATTCGTTCTTCTCCCGAGTGGTACAGCGCCAGAAGTAATCTCATTAACTGATGAAACATGACAAACAACATCAAAAGTATAATTTCCCATGAAGGCTATGAGCACTTTTATAATAACTGATGAAATATTGTTTTTCTAAGACTGAGCTATATTTAGAAAGTATATATAGTCTGTTTTGGTGAGTTGATTTATTTTATCTCTAAATTTGTTCTTTCTAGATAATGTGACTATAATTACATATTTGTACTTAATTAGTTAAAGAATCTGCATGATGCTGTTCATTCACTGGAATAACAGGGAGACAATATGTTTCTTTAGAATCTGTGTGTGCACCTAAAAGCATGAAATTAGTGTAGTGATGGGAATAACGGCTCTTTGAAGGGAGCCGGATCTTATGGCTCAGTTTTTTTCTGAAAGCCTCTTTAGGCTCACAAACTTGACTTACTACCACTTCTGCTGGTCACTGCATAAATTAAACTCTTATTTGTAGGAAGAAATAAATATACACGATTCATCAGTTAAAGGTCATCACTAAAAGGTGTAATTTGTTCATTGTCATGCATTCCTTTTTTCGCTGACTGGGCGTGGGAGTGATGGGGATGCGGGGGTGAAATCGGCTCTCGGACGGGAGCCGGCTCCCATCGTTCACTAAAAGGGCCTGCTCAGAGAGCCGACTGGTTCGCGACAGGCACATCGCTAATTAGTATCTGTGTTAGACCACCAACTTAATCCCTTTTAGAAAAATCTGAGAAATGTTGCTTTTACAAGTAAATTAATCATCCTCTACGCCAAACAGTCAGCTAGGGCAGCTTCCCGTAAAATGATGAGAGCAAAACCAGCTGCTAAAAGAGTGAAATGAAAAAGCTGTGCAGAATTGTCACTCTCATACAGTGGGATGGTGTGTGGCAAGTGTGTGCTTGTTGTATACATGGTGCTGGAGATGATGGTTCCTGGCCCAGCATTTGTATGTGTCCAATAGAAAGCTCTTTGTTGAATCTTGGGGCTGGGAACAAAGTACCACATTGTCAGTATCTTTGTGTGTATAATGAATGGGTGCATGCATATACTGCCTTACATTTCCGCTTGACTGTAATTAGCCTTTTCTAGAATCACCATCCACCAAGCAAGTGGATTTTAGAGGAATTTCAGAGTTCTACATTTGCTGTGAAAGAGTGTGCTTTTCGGATTTTTGTCATTCCCTTGGGACAAATCACTACTGTAACACCAGAAAGAAGCACAGTACTGGGTCAGCGTGGCGGACGAGGTCCATTCAGTAGTGCTTAGCTCCCAGGCTCTTGGCTTGTGATGCAGCACTGCCTTTTGGAAACCGTGTTCATGTAAAGTAAGGATGAGAAGTATGTGACAGAAAGTGCAGTCCGGCTGTCCTTTTTTTGGCATTTAAAAGCAGAGGAGATGATTCAGCCTGCCAGCTAACATATTACCATACATAGCAGAGGAATTTGACACTGAGAAATGATGCATCATGTATTGAGCGTTTTGTGGTGGTGGGAGAGGCTAAAAGAGGGATTGTGATGACTTTTACCAATCAGTTATTGACAGAAATATATATATATATAATATATAACACACGTCTTGTAGGTTGAATGATACACACGTCCTAGTGAAAGCTTTTTATTTTTATTTTAGCAGACTGAAGATGGTATCATATATCCATTGACTGACTTCGGTGATCAGTCATCTGTGTTAATTGGTGGAAAAGGAAATCGTTAACTGAAACTGAGCATGTTGTTGAGACACTTGGTGCATGGGTTGTATGTGCTGTTCGTGTGCTGAGATTGTATCACTATTGGCAACGTGGTATTCTTAATTTCTGTCTTGGCTGCGTGCTGTCAACAACCGCCCGCGCACACACTCTCGCAAACTATTCTGCTTTGTTCCCTCATTAATCATCATTCCTCTGCATGCTTCTGGTTCTTGCAGTTATAGCACGGTGTCACGGTGGGTCAGCGGTGCGATGGTGCCTTGTGCGGCACGGCGCCAGCGATGCCCTCCCATCACTGTGATGACTTGCGGTGCAATGCTCTAGTGCACAGATGGCTCGAAAACACACAGAACCTATGGCAGAAAGATGCCGTTACCTGCTGTGTGTGAACACAGTGTGCAAAGACTTGTTCAGTGTGTGTATGTAGTGTAAGCATGTGGGGGGAACAGAGATTTCTGATGTGTTTGTTATATTTGATAATAGAAATCAGGAAAAATGGCTTTTACCTCATTGAATTGCGTCATATTTGCCCTTGATAATTTGTGTAGTATTAGGCATTGTAGCGTTCTTTGTTACCACAGCTCAGGACCTACCTGTAACTTATTCTCCTGAGCATAGCAGTGAGCACACAAGTGTATACCAGCTCCAGTAAATCTGTGGTTATGTGTGAGAGCAGATGGTCTAACTGAGCTGCCTTTTTTGACATCCCTCTGCCCCTTCCTCCTCCTGTTGGAAAGGGACTGCAGAGGAAGCTAACGACCTTTGACAGTGTCTGCCAAGAGAACGCCGTCCTCAGGTGGAGCCAGGTGGTTCAGGCAGGTTGCCACCATCTGTAGATGCAGTTAGTTGCTTTTGTTGCACGTGTTGCTGCGGCTGCAAATAAACACTACTGTTTCTAGGGACGTGCATGTTACAACGACAATTAGTTAGTCCAGATAACTGCTGCTTGATTTCTAGGAGACATTGTTGAGGTAAATGTTAGTGGAGCACAGAAACCTACCAGCGGGGGGGGGGGGGAAGAATCAATGGCACATGCAAACTGTACAAACAATACCTGCTGCACATGCTGTACCTGCACCTTTAGCTGTCTCTCACACACGCATGTACAAATGCCACCTGACTCTCTATTGCGAACCATCATCTCCTCACTCAGCCAGCTGTGTTCAGCTGAGTCTCGTACAGTAAGAGGAGACAGATAATGGCGTTGCAGGTTGGCAGACGGGGACAGAACGCCACCTGAGACTCGGCTCCAGCGCTGTAATACTGTTCCTCTCCGCAGCTGCAAATTGCATCATCATACTCTGTGACCCGCAGTTGTTCCTTTACAGAATTATTCATCCAGCCTTTTTGTTTTTTTGACAGATTTTAGACGAAGACCGAGATCAAGATAGAGAGCTGAGGGATGGGATGAAACTGGATGGACACTTTAGGCTGGAGGGAGGCAAATAGAGAGAGAGAAACGAGATAGAAGAAAGAGGAGAGAATGACTGCTGGTGGAGGAATTGATGTGAGCAGGTTTCAGGGGTAAAGACTGGGATCAGAAGCTCACTGAATAGATTCTTTTTTCCTGTGTTGTTTGTCAGACACTTAGTGCTGGCTGCCAGCAGGTGTGTGTGTGTGTGTGTGTGTGTGTGTGTGTGTGTGAGACAGCGAGGGAGAAAAATAAAACAGGCATTTTTGCAGAGTAGTGCCTACAGTAAACCTCTCTTCTGGCACTGCCAGGATTAGAGGTGTCTGTTTAATTAATGCTCCCTTTTCCCCCCTTCTTTCGTTTCCCTTTCACACACTCATCCTTTATCTCCTTTCTCTTTGGCTCGCTCCTTGTTGTTCCCCCCCTGCACTCAAGTACTCAAATTACTCAGAGCTGTACTTCAGAAAGTGCTGTTTTCAGGTCATTGCTTTCTCTGTTGTTCAGGTTTTCGAGGTAAACTGTCAGCTGTGTGTCTGCGTGTTTGCCTGTTTGTGAGTGAGAAATGATGCTCTTTTCTCAAGGTAGCCAACTCTTACCGGCAAACAAGAGCTCAGAGGACTGTGTTTGTCTTCTCTCAGCTGGTCTATCATCTCTGGCACCCACTAATGTGTGTAGTGTAGTTGCAGCATTTCTCAAATGGACTTTGTTAGTACAAATTTGTTCAGCCATCTACACATTGTATGGATTCTTTTGACCGCTTTCTCGTTTCTTCTCTCTCCTTTTTTTTCTAGGCCCTCCACCAGTTGTACTATGATCCCAACATAGAAAACAAGAATCTGGCCCAGAAATGGCTAATGCAGGCTCAGGTCTCGCCTCAGGCCTGGCAGTTCTGCTGGGCCCTACTGAGCCCAGATAAGGTACAGTGGACACTCACATGGGCACCCAACACACACACACACACACACACACACACACACACACACACACACACACACACACACACACTGAAAAAGCATATTGCTTCATTTGCATCATCTCTCACAGGTGCCAGAGATCCAGTACTTTGGCGCAAGCGCTCTTCACACAAAGATCTCTCGCTACTGGTCAGACATCCCCTCAGACCAGTACGAGTCTCTGAAGACCCAGCTGTTCTCCCAGATTGCCTGCTTCTCCTCCGGCTCCAAGATGGTGCTCACTCGGTTATGCGTGGCTCTGGCCTCTCTGGCGCTCAACACAATGCCTGAGGCCTGGCCCGGCGCAGTGGCAGAGATGGTGCGGGTGTTCCAGGAGGAAGGGGGAGGGGTGGATGGGCGGGCTCGCTGCCTGGCATTGCTGGAGCTGCTCACCGTCCTGCCTGAGGAGTTCCAGACCAGCCGCCTGCCGCAGTACCGAAAGGGACAGGTATGTCTGCAGGTACCACCTTCTCCCACATCTGCAGTAGTGGTCGCCACCTGTTCAATATTCACAGGTTTTCTTTGGATTCATTTGTTCATCAATAGGTAACGAACCTCAATACTTTTTGAGAACTTGAAATGTGAATGCTTTGTTAGATTCGTTGTCCTCTTCATGTATTCTTTAATGGGATATTTCCAGATATATGGTCTAAATCATAATTTGACTTTTCATCATATAGTGGCAAAATAATTGCACAGCTGCTTGCGTTAAAGACATTTAATGGACATTGTTTGAGAAGTTTTGTTTGTTTTAAAAAAACATAAGGTATCAAGAAAGCATCATATTGGTGTCAGTGCCAAAAAACAGATCTTAATGGCACCAGTATAGAAACACTTTAAATGAGCCTACTCATTAAGCAGGGGAACATACCACACATGAGCAATACACTAACGGTCTCAACCCTCATTATCATCCTCCCTCTAGGTCCGGGGTGCCTTGGGCCGGGAGTGGGGGTCAGTGTGTCCCTTACTGCAGCAACTGCTGCGAAGGACAGACAGCCCTGGGGCGGTGAAAGCTCGCGTGCTGCGCTGCTTGTCATCTTGGGTGCTGCTAGATGTGCCCCTCAGCGAGAGCGAAGGCCTGGTGCACGACTGCTTCAGTGCCCTGCCTGATCCAGAGCTCTTCGACACAGCGGTGGAGGCAATAGTCAATGCCATCTCGCAGCCGGACTCCCAAAGGTGTGTACAGCCAGTGTGGAGTGACAACAGCATGCCAACCCCCCCCCCCTTGACATCAAAGCCATGGTTTTGACTGGAGAAATTACACTGGAGGAAAAATGGAGCTGGGAGGGAGGGAGAGGGAGAGAGAAAAGGAAAGATGCATTAGCCAAGTGCAGGAAACGGACAGGGTGGGCACTGGAAGGCATCAGGGAGGGAGGGAGGGAGCTGAAGGAGGGAGGGATTGATACAGGGCAAGGAGAGCGCCATTTCTCGGTTGGCTGATGTTGCTATGGTTACAGAGCTGGGTAGAGATGTCATCGTGCCCTGGTTGATTCAGACATGGCAGGCACCCATTACCCCTCCCCTAGTGAGAGAGGAAGGGAGAGAGAGGGCGGGGGTGACGGGACGACGCAAAGTGAAGAAATGGTGCTAAAAGAAGGAGGAGGGCATGGGGAAGGTGTGAAAGTGTACCATAAAAGACTCTGTCCTCCATACCTCTGCACACCTTCTCTGTGAAGTTGCTGCTGACAAGTCAGTTTAAACACACTGACATTATGCCGAGCAGAAGGTGGGAAGACGATTAATGGCAGTGGAGTTACAGGTAGAACAGCCTCAGCAGGTGGTGCAGGGCTCCTGTAGGATAGAGTATGTTAGTGAGAGATGGGATTCTTCTGATCTTATTTTTAAAAAATTTACTTTTTTTCACATTTATCCATTTTGTTACATCCAGTTTTGACACTAGTGTCTTCCCTGTTTTTCTTGTTTTGTGTCACATAGTATTGATCACAGCCCTGCGTGTTTGCCACTGTGTGTTTGTCAGTGTGACGGCCCCAGAGCCTCCCAGAGGTCTTGACTCTCTCATTAGCGGCGTCTCTCGAGACACGTTTGGCCTCTGTGTTTGTCAGAGCATTGTGTGATTAATGGGTTTATATTTGACTTCCTAGGAGGAAAATGAATGAATCTATTAAAAAACAGGCAATACAGTTATTTCCTCCATCCCCTCTATGAAGTCAGAGCCCACTTTTCTTTCATCTGTACATTTTGCTGTCTTTGTTTATTCTGTCTATTTGATCGTTTCTCCCACTCTACCTCTGTTGCTTTGTGCTCTTCCTTTCCCCTTTCTCTTCTCTCACCATCAGTACTAAGCCCTCCTCCCTGTCTCTTGTTCTCTCCCTCTGTTTAAACACATTACAGTCAACTCATTTGGGGGGATGCTATTGGTCCAGCTGCATCCTGTTGCCAGGCAACCCATTTCCCCTGTCTCGCAGTGTTGCAGTAATTGCTGAGGGGATCAGAGGTGGGGGGATGGGGGGTTAAAGGAGGAGTCAGGAAGGAGGCAGAAAGTGTATAACAGCAGGGCAGGGAGCAGAAGAGGAGTTAGAGGAGATGAGAGGAGACTGCAGCAGATGATCTCAGAGGATCCTCCAGAATATCGTCTCTTATGTGGGAAACATACAAATCCAGTCTGCCTTTTAATCGTATTACATACACACCAAGTCCTTTTTTTCCCTAAGCTTAGAGTGCATGACCTGCATTTGCAAAGAACCTTGTTAAAAATGAATGATCTTCTGAGTGCATGAGTGCATTCTGCCACTCTCTCTCACACACAGAGCCACTCGCTCATAGTAAATTGCAGCTCAACTCTTCTTCTCTGCTCCTTACTCAGGCTGCCAAACACAGAGGATGTAGGCCAATACACACACACACACACACACACACACACACACACACACACACACACACACACACACATACACAGGTAAAGGCTCATTAGATGGAGGCCAGCTTCATACACACCACATCTCAGCAGGGTGGAGCTCTCTCCAGAGTAGGCTGAATCAGTATGGGCTGTTGAGGCTACATCCACACTACTACGTTTTTGTTTAAAAGTGAAAACGATCTCCGTCCACACCAGCGTTTTGGCTGTCCATATTAAAACACCTGAAAATGCACATGGTGGCCGTTCACGTACACTGGGCATGCTCTTGCCAGTGTAAACATGAAGCCGATTGTCTAGTCCGCAGTTGTAGAATATTTAAACGAAAATAGAAAGGACTACAACGGACAAAGAACCACACACAATTTTTTTTACATTGACAGAAAACGAGGTGGAACTGTTACTGAAAGTAACACAGGAGTATAAATTGAGTGCGGCGGCGGAAAACAGACTGGGAGTCGTCGCAAAGTAAACACGACAACATGCACAGCACAAGTGGTTGAGTGTTATTTGCACAGTTCTCTGTGTGGCACTGTAAATTGAATTGCTCTGGTGGTTTGATTGTTGACAAAATAAGCATTTTGAAGATGTCACTTGAGCGTCTGAGAATCGTTTTCACAATTCTTTATGTATTAAATGATGATAATGAACAGATGAATTGATAATGGATACAGTCGTTTCGATCCTCAGAGAAACACTGCAAGTTACATTCGTTTTTCAGCTTGATTTAGTTTATTTTTATTTTCTTGGTGAAGTCGCACAACCATTGTCATTGATGAATATTCATCGACCTGGACCTTTGTCCTTATTGACATTCTCATGAAAGATGAACCACTGCCCGGCATACCACAAAACCTCCCCTGGGACTCACACACGCGTAATATGGTTTACATTCATAGCATTCACACATGCACGTAATCTCCTCTGTGACATTCAGGCACCCGTACACGCACGCCCTTCATCTCCAAATGTCACCCCTTCACTTGCTGTCATTAAAGCTGACGGGAGGATGTTGTCTGATGTTGTCACATGACCAGATCTGTGTTGAAGAGTGCCTCTGAGTGTGTGTACCCATGTGTCCATGTAAGTTTGTATGTGTGTGTGTTTTAGCCAGAGTGAGGGAATTATAGATGGCTGAGACAGCAGGAAGAAGACAGAATGATAACTGACAGCAGCGCAGCTCTGAGCAGGAGCTTTGAATAGATTTTCTGGTTCCCTGGTAGATGTGTGGGTTTTTTAGGGTGGGAGTACTGGATCAGAGGTTGGGGCTGGCTTGAACTGAGATTTGATTTAAAATAAATACTTGTCTTGAGATGGAGCAATAAATACATCAACCTAGCTGTGAGCGGCGTGAGTCAGATTTACATTCACCAGTGGAGGCCTCCTGGCTGTGCATGCTACAGTATGTAGTTCTCACTTGTACAGCACTGTATTGTTTTTTTTTATTTGTTTTCCTTTAACTGGACTCCTAATTGTCAATTCTGGCGTTTCTTTGTCTGTGTTTGTGTGTCCATGGGTTTTAGATATGTGAATACTTTGCTAAAACTGGTTCCTCAAGTGCTGGCCCTTCAGGAGCAGCTCAGAGAGGCTGTTCAGAATGGAGACATGGAGACCTGCCATGGGATCTGCCGTATCGTCGTTACACTGGGAGAAAACCACTCCAGGTATGTGTGTGTTTTTTTCTGTAGGCCTCTATCAATGTGAAGATTTTATAGTATCTAGTAATGGCGACCCGAATAGTCGAAGATTTGATGATTCTATAGGCAGATTCTGATTCGATCTTCACAGCTGTGTTATGAAACAAGGATCATACCATTTTGGCTAATTGGGGGTGCACAATGTCAGATTTTACGTAAAACTACCTGTTTTCTCCAATTAAGTTGATATATAGCCTATTCTGATATAAATATCTACATATAATGCTGTTAATAAACATGTGAAAGGAAAGAAGCTTTTAATAACTTTTTTGTGTGTGAAAAAAATGTATAATTGTAACCCTAACCTTTAAGGTAGGGGGTGTCAGTGCACATGTGTGGCATAGCGTGTGTGTCTGTGTGGCAGAAGAGGGAGAGAGTGTTGTGCGTGAACTTTGCTGGTCGTTTGGATGATTCATCACCATTAATGAACCACACAAAGAATATCACATAGTTTTTAACCAGTGGGCTACTTGGATTAGACCTGCAAGGAACCGTGACGTGTGTGCAATTGTCGGCGAGTTGGCGGGCATGCACAACTCTGCACAAGACTGGTGAATGGCAGGCGAGCAGAGCAGAGAGAATAGGGTCAACAAAAAGCCTCAGTTTAGCTGGAAATGTGCAGCGACTAATGAAAAGAGACTGCAGTTCTGCAGCTTCTCAAGATTAAAGCGGAGCTTCCGTGTGTAACAACATGGGAGACACAGAGGGAGAAAGTCGCTCGTTAACTGTGTACCACAACTGCACCGGTCAGCTGCCAGATCACACCTTCTCTTTCTTTCTGTCCCCTTGGCCCACCTCTCTCTCTAGGACTCTGCTGGAGCAGGTGGACCACTGGCAGAGCTTCCTGGCTTTGGTCAACATGATCATGTTTTGTACAGGCATCCCCGGCCACTACCCGGTCAATGAGACCACCAGCTCGCTCACACTCACCTTCTGGTATACATTACAAGTAAGGAATGTCAGAATCTGATCCAGTCTAATGTTAAAGTGATGTCATGGTAGTTTGACAAATAAAGGGTACTGTATTTTTTTCTTAATGGCCTTTCCACAAAATAAGCTTTAATCATTGTAGTCTGGCAAGGCTTGTTAGGCACATGCTTGAAACAGTAATTTTTAGACAGACAAGATAGACTGCTCACTCAATTTGACAACTTGTCTAAAGCCATTTGCTTTTTGTCTTCTTCCTTATCCAACATAATTGATTTCTTGGTTTGTGCAAGCATGCAATGCATAGTTTCATATTAGATCATTGATAGTGAGGTCATTTCCTCAGTGATAAATGAATGATAAATAGTATAAAATGTGAAATACAGTGGGTATAGAAAGTATTCAGACCCCTTTAAATTTTTCACTCTTTGTTTCATTGCAGCCATTTTCCAAAAATCCAAAAAGTTCATTTTATTTCTCAGTAATGTACACTCAGCACCCCATCTTGACAGAAAAAAACAGAAATGTAGAAATTTTTGCAAATGTATTAAGAGAAAAACTGAAATATCACATGGTCATAAGTATTCAGACCCTTTGCTCAGTATTTAGTAGAAGCACCCTTTTGATCTAATACAGCCATGAGTCGTTTTGGGAAACAAGTTTTTCACATCTGGATTTGGGTATCCTCTGCCATTCCTCCTTGCAGATCCTCTCCAGTTCTGTCAGGTTGGATGGTAAACGTTGGTGGACAGCCATTTTCAGGTCTCTCCAGAGATGCTCAATTGGGTTTAAGTCAGGGCTCTGGCTGGGCCATTCAAGAACAGCCACGGAGTTGTTGTGAAGCCACTCATTCGTTATTTTAGCGGTGTGCTTAGGGTCATTGTCTTGTTGGAAGGTAAACCTTCGGCCCAGTCTGAGGTCCAGAGCACTCTGGAAAAGGTTTTCGTCCAGGATATCCCTGTACTTGGCCGCGTTCATCTTTCCCTCGATTGCAACCAGTCGTCCTGTCCCTGCAGCTGAAAAACACCCCCACAGCATGATGCTGCCACCACCATGCTTCACTGTTGAGACTGTATTGGACAGGTGATGAGCAGTGCCTGGTTTTCTCCACACATACCGCTTAGAATTAAGGCCAAAAAGTTCTATCTTGGTCTCATCAGACCAGAGGATCTTATTTATCACCATCTTGGAGTCCTTCAGGTGTTTTTTAGCAAACTCCATGCGGGCTTTCATGTGTCTTGCACTGAGGAGAGGCTTCCGTCGGGCCACTCTGCCATAAAGCCCCGACTGGTGGATTGCTGCAGTGATGGTTGACTTGCTACAACTTTCTCCCATCTCTCGACTGCATCTCTGGAGCTCAGCCACAGTGACCTTTGGGTTCTTCTTTACCTCTCTCACCAAGGCTCTTCTCCCCCGATAGCTCAGTTTGGCCGGACGGCCAGCTCTAGGAAGGGTTCTGGTCGTCCCAAACGTCTTCCATTTGAGGATTATGGAGGCCACTGTGCTCTTAGGAACCTTAAGTGCAGCAGAAATTTTTTTGTAACCTTGGCCAGATCTGTGCCTTGCCACAATTCTGTCTCTGAGCTCTTCAGGCAGTTCCTTTGACCTCATGATTCTCATTTGCTCTGACATGCACTGTGAGCTGTAAGGTCTTATATAGACAGGTGTGTGGCTTTCCTAATCAAGTCCAATCAGTATAATCAAACACAGCTGGACTCAAATGAAGGTGTAGAACCATCTCAAGGATGATCAGAAGAAATAGACAGCACCTGAGTTAAATATGAGTGTCACGGCAAAGGGTCTGAATACTTATGACCATGTGATATTTCAGTTTTTCTTTTTTAATAAATTTGCAAAAATTTCTACATTTCTGTTTTTTTCTGTCAAGATGGGGTGCTGAGTGTACATTACTGAGAAATAAAATGAACTTTTTGGATTTTTGGAAAATGGCTGCAATGAAACAAAGAGTGAAAAATTTAAAGGGGTCTGAATACTTTCCGTACCCACTGTATACTTGGGTTAACAGCCTGTGTGAGCTGTAAGTGATGCTTTTGCAATAATAATTTTATGGTCACGCACAAAAAAAATGTTTTTCCCCTCCTTACTCCATCCTCAGGATGAAATAATGTCATTCGAGTCGGATAAGCAGACGGTGTATCTGCAGGTCTACAGGCCGGTGTATTTCCAGCTGGTGGATGTTCTGCTACACAAAGCCCAGTTCCCCTCCGACCAGGAGTATGCATCCTGGTCCTCAGATGAGAAAGAGCAATTTAGGATCTATAGGTGTGTGTGTGTGTGTGTGTGTGTGTGTGTGTACATTTGTAAGCCTGACCCTGTTTTTGTGTATGTTACATGCAGATTTCTCCTGCGTGTGTGTGTTTCGGTGACAGTCTAAGTGTTTCAGAAATGACTTGCTGACAGGATGATTGGTCAGCGTATGAGTGTGCTTTTCTCTAATAGACTCACTGGACTGACGAGTGAAAGGCTAAAACCTGTCTGACAGACACATGAACACATAAGGGTTTCAACACTGCGTGCCCTTAAAATGTCTTTTTGTGCATGTCTGTCCTTCAGGGTGGATATCTCAGACACACTCATGTACGTGTATGAGATGCTGGGAGCAGAGCTGCTGAGTAACCTGTATGATAAACTAGGGAGACTGTTGACTAATGCAGAGCAGCCCACATCATGGCAGGTGGGTGAGACACACACAGACGAGCAAAGAGAATATGTGAACTATTTTCTGTTTGGTTGAGTGTTGCACAGAAGCCAGTACTGAAAATGTGTCATACCCGATTTAATAAACCAGTTGTTTTTTTTTAAGACCAGTAATTTGTTTTCTATTATTATACTTATGTTGGTGTGCATGAAATCCACATTCTTAAATCAAAATAAACCTCAAGATAAAGAAGATTCAAAAGTACATATATAAGTTATGTAAATGTACAGGATTTAAACTATTGGAAGCATTTTTCATGATGATTTGGGTTGTTTTCACTTTCCATGGTCATCTTTTTAACTCAAACCTTAGGGTTTTGTCATCGCTGAAATGTAATTTTATCATCACTGTGTTCTCTTCCTCCAGCACACAGAAGCATTACTATACGGCTTCCAGTCCATCGCAGAAACGATAGATGTGAATTACTCTGACGTCATCCCAGGCCTGATAGGACTCATCCCCAGAATCAGCATCAACAACGTCCAGCTAGCAGACACAGTGATGTTCACTATAGGTGAGACAAGTTTCATGGGTGCATTAAAAGGACCATGTTCTAAAATTTCCAACCCATTTGAGTGTAATTTATAGACAACACTGGTACAAACAGGGAGTGTTTGAGTCTTATAACTTGAACTTATAACATTGTTCTCATTCAGCATCTGAACTGGTTAATCTCCCACCAGGTGCGTTGGCTGAATGGTTGGCAGACCACCCAGTGATGCTCAGCAGTGTCTTGCCCTTGGTGCTACAGGCTTTGGGGAACCCAGACCTTTCTGTTTCTTCTGTCTCTACACTGAAGAAAATTTGTAGGGAGTGCAAATATGACCTGCCACCCTACGCAACCAACATAGTAGCTGTCTCTCAGGTATGCGTACACATGCATTACCTCTTTTTTTTATGCTATTGCATTTTCTACCCAGTTGATCCAGTACAAGAGCCAATAAGGATCTTTTGTCTTGCTTTTAACAGCTAAGATGCTGCACACTTATGTGATGTTCCCGCTTTCCAGAAATAGCATTTACTCTTTGAAATCACTTCAGTTGTCTACTTTTTATTGCTAAATTCAGTAGTTTTTGTTTTGCTTTCCAAAAGAATTCAACCGTCACTCTGACTTTCTCTTTTCTCTCAAGGAGGTGCTTATAAAGCAGATCCACAAGGTCAGTGTGTGCTCGCTCACATTCACTTTCTCTTTTTGCTTTACCTTTCAGTTCAGAAGTGGCATTTAAAGCAACATTATGTAAGATTTGTTTTTTTTATTGTTATCGTTGTCTTAAATAAGGACAGCTGTACACACACATTTGTAATGACAAACATCAAACAAGCGCGACAACATAAGACACAGCAAGCCAGCTAATAAGTTATTACTTACTAATCCAACAGAAATAAAGCCAGCTCGGCATCTGTTTTTGCGTCCTTTCAGCTCTTTTATCTCATGCCAACAAGTTAAAAGCCTGTCTGATGTTTACCCTTGTCCGGCCTCTTGCTCGGTCACACTCTCTTTTTCTCTTTCTCTCGTCCTTCAACAATGTCGTCATCTTATCTTTTTGCGGCCTCTGCCATGATATCCATATTGAGAATACGGAGCTAGCTTCTTATAGCTAGCTTTCTGAAGGGTGTTGTTGGTGTGACATGTGGTGCCGCAAAGCTTTAAACCGTAGATTTCCTGCCTGGGATTTCACTACATAGTGCTATACCAGACGCTCCGTGACAGAGAATGACAAAGACGCCATTCGCTCTGTTACAAGTCAAAATGATTTTAAAATCTGTTATTTTAAGATAAAATTACTACATAATGTTGCTTTAATTAAGAAACTGAATGAATTGCGTAACGTGTTTGTAGCCTGTAGTCTGAGACTGAAGATCTCTTTCTAATACTTTTAAATGACTCTTAAATGGAAGCTCACTGCTCACTTGAACTGAAGCTAAACCTGCGATCATCTGTTCTTCCAGACAAGTCAGTGTATGTGGCTGATGCAGGCTCTCGGCTTCCTGCTCTCCGCCCTCCCTGTGGAAGACATCTTAAGAAACCTTCACTCTCTCATCACCCCCTACATTCAGCAACTGGAGAAGCTGGCGGACGAGACGGTGTGTACGCAGACCAACATTTAACAGTATACACACACACACACACAAAGGGCAGGCACAGTTGGACTCTGGCCAATAGGAACAGGCCTTGTGTCTGTGTGGTGTCACTGCAGTGGAACATTTCTCTGCGGGACCAGATTGGATTTGACCCTGCACCGTTGGCTAGTGACTCACATGGAAGTAGCAGAGACACACTTTCTCTCACTCGTGCAAAAACGCACGCACATACCAAGAGAGAAGGCACATTGAGAAAGTGAAAAAAAGTGCCTTCACAGACACACTTACAGTAGTGCATGCATACAGTCGTGCAAAAAGAAAATTCTTTACCGTGTTTAAATGTCACGTCTAATAGAGCCGGGAGTGTCAGACTGTCACGCTGGAAGATGCAAAAGTGGAGCTGCTATTATCTAAAAATACAGTTTGATATCTACTGTATGCGGAACAAAGTAGAATCTCTTCTGATCCCTTGTTCTACTCTCAGTAAAGACCTTGGGTGGGGTGACTAGAGATGTCGGCTTAGATGAAGCTTTTCATTTCTCTCTGTGTGTCTGTCTCTGTCCCTGCCCCCCCACCCTTCACATAACACACACATTGTCTCATCCCTCCTCTCCGACTCCCCCCACCCCCCCCGTTGTTATTTTCCTTCTAGCTTGTCGATGTATCGGCATTACATCAGACTAGGAAATCAGGTGCCATGTCTGGAGCCAGACAAATAGTGGCACCTAGTGGGGAGACCTTCAGGTTACATTACGTCAGGGGTGAATGACCATGATGTCTGGTGGCAAACGCTGAGGGAGTTGTTCAGATTTGGCCTCAAGGATAATGTGCATTGTGACCTCTCTGTTCTTGTTGTAGGGTGACCGTTGTACAGTAAAAGCATCAACATTGTGAGGAGAGGTTGATGTTGAAGGAGAGATGAGGTGTGGCTGTAAGAGTCCTCTTCGTAGTCCTTTGGCTCTATTGCATCACCATGGAGACAGAGCAGTGATTAAACGCTGCCAGTGAAACCCTAATTAATAAAATTACCTGGGGGAGGGGTGTGTGCGCACTGATGCGTGGTATTAGAACAAGCTATTATCTTCTTTCTGTCACATTGCTGAAATTGCCCAGCTTTTTATTCAGTTTTTTAAACTAGAAGTGAGATTAAATATTATTTATCTAACAATTATTTTGTTGATTAATTATTAACAGTAAGCTGCTTAATTTGTTTCTAACCAACTGAAAAACCCAAAGAATTCAATGTAACTGGCTAAATGAATCAAATGATGTGTCAACTAATGTGATTGATTTATATTTCAGTTTATTGATTTAGATTGAGTTTTATTTGATTTAGTTGTAGGTATTCCATCCATCCATTTTCAAAACTGTTTTTCTTGTTCAGGAGTAACACTTTGGGAGCATGTTTAGCTTTTATGGGTTGTTTGTCTTAAATATTTTAGCAGTTATTTTTCAAGGCAGCACCATGCACTAAAATAACCACATGGGCAGTGGGGTTAGTTTGCATAGTAGCAAATTCCTAAATAAAATCTGTTTTTCTTTGTTTCTTCTTTCAGCCTAATCCCTCCAATAAATTGGCAATCATCCACATCTTGGGGCTGCTGTCCAACCTCTTCACTACACTCGACATCAGCAAGCAGGACGATGAGTCAGCGGACGGCTCAGCACCACCTGTCAAAACAGCCCCACCTCCTCCCGGCCCAAACCCAGTCAGTTACCACACACTATCATCATTGTCAGTGGGGTTGGGTGTTTGGAACAAATACACTGACTGAATCAATGGATAATAGATATTGGCCAGTACAAATATACAGTATGTTAAGGCTTTGTAATACGGTGCACTGCAGTTTGGTAGAAATGCAGTGGGGCACATAATGCTCGCAGCAACATGAGCTCCTCTCCCGGTGAGGGTAGCCAACAGGAAATCTTTGACCTATCACTCAACCATAGTCATTAGTAATTCTGCTCATAGGCATGCACCCATGTGTAAATGCTAATGTGTAATGCTACTGATTGTTTAGGAATTTCTATTCTTTTTTTTCTTTTTTTTTCTTTTTTTCTTTTTTTTTTTTTTAAATGAAGTGAATCTGTGTTTTTCAGGTGGTGGTGGTTTTGCAACAAGTATTTGCTCTCATACAGACTGTACTCAGCAAGTGGCTCAACGACTCACAGGTTGTAGAGGTGAGTGATCGACATGTGTGGCCGGCCACATATTGTCAGACCTCTGCGTTTCAAGAAATCAGCCCACATGATCATATATGATGACATTTCAGTATAGCTGATCTCGTGTTGTCCCCCAGGCGGTGTGCGCTATCTTTGAGAAGTCAGTGAAGACTCTGCTCCATGACTTTGCTCCCATGGTGTCTCAGCTAAGCGAGATGCTTGGGCAGATGTACAGTACGATTCCCCAGGCCTCAGCCCTTGACCTCACACGACAGGTACACAATCATTCACGTGCACAAACGCACATTATTATTTTTCTTTTAATACTTTGTGCTTGCATGCAGAGGGGTTTTAGAGATTTGTCAGAAATGGCTGTGTATGAGCTAATCAGCTATGCACCAATGAGCCCAAGGTTAAGGAGGATAAAGTATTAGTTTATGTTCACAGTTAAAATATATATTCATGACTATATTCAAACTTAAGCATCATTTGTGTGACCACATAAACTAAAAGTCATGACTTTTACAGTTATGTTTCACCTTTTGTCATAATTTTTGTTAATAACATTGACTGAGATATTTTTACACCCAGGTGATATTATTTTAACCATTCTAATAACAATTTTCTAATCAAGCTATAAAAATAAATTTTGCATTATCTAATCACTGTAAGGATCCCTCACTGTCTTGGGGTATAAGCATTTAGGGGAAGTGACCTGTAGTATGTTTACATGTACCTACGCAGTCTTTTTTTTTTTTTTTTTTTTTTTTTATCTTTCTGTTGGAACAAAGTTGTTTTTTTCTTTTAAATCTCCTGTAAAAAACACATGTTGTTTCTTTAATCCCTTACCCTTAAATAACGGCGAGAAATCTAATTTCTTGAACATTTGTCCAATAAATGTTTTTTACATGTACACGTGGATCATAGCGGTGGATCTCCAAGAAGTTCAACTGGAACTGATAATGACACAAAAATATATAAGGCTGTTTCCATAGCAACAGTAGGTTATTTGTAAAATTCAGACACATTTGCACACTAAGAGAAAACAAGCGTTCTCACTACAGAACGTGTTTCCAAAATGCTACAACTTAAAAAAGAAAAATTGAAAACAGACTAACACCATATTATATTACTAATGCGCCCTAATCGTACAGCTGTATGTAAACACAGGTTTTATAATAATCAGGTTTCGGCAGTGCATGTAAAGACATCCCGTTTTGCTTCCAATAACCTGGTTTCTTGTGTGCAAGAAAACAGTGTGTCTGATGTGAAGTCCTGCTGTTTCAGATGGTGCATATCTTTGCCAGCGAGACAGACCACTTCCCACCCATCAAGGCTCTGTTCGAGCTGGTTACCTCGGTAACACTGTCCATCTTTCAGCAAGGTAGGGGGTCCAGCGGGGGGGCGGGTCTGTGAAATGTGTCTGTTCGAATCAGTGGTAGACCTTTTTGAATATTTCTATCGTATCTGATTTCACAGGGTCAGAGGAAAAGTTGGAAACAAATCTGGTAAAAGAAATTGTTAAAAATGATTTCTAAATTACTTTAATATATATTCAGGGTATGTGAAGACTGATGTGCTGTTGCATTAGACAATAAAACAGCGCAGCCTGGGGGCATCACACAGGAAAATTATGAAAGGTTAGAGGTCATAGTTGTAAATGTTTGCTCTGATTATTCATTAATGCAAATGAAACCACAAAGTGACCTGTCTGCTCGAGTTGTGTTGAAGTCTCAAATCATTTTATTAATGCAGACTTCTGTTTCCACTGATCATTGATTATATCATTTTAAGACTGATAAAAATGGTTTGCTTTAAACTTGTGCAATCAACATGTTGTAGTGTTTTCTATATTTATTAGCCCAGTATTTGCTTATTTAATTTTATTATTAATTTATTTGAATTTACTGTTTCTGTGTTTGGGCTGCAAGAAAATAGCTTTCATTTTGTAAAGTTTTCAAAGTTGGTCATAGGTTTGTTTATGTGTGTGACCTTGGGGCCAGATTTAGGTTCATAACGTAAGAGGACATGAATGAGATGATATCATTTCATCCACTATACTCTGGTTAGGCTACTTGTACCAGCTCTCTCTGCCACTCCCCTTCCCTTTGTGTTGTCCCTTTTTTCCTCTCCCCTTTTCCTGCTTTGACTGGTTAAGTAATGGCTGCCTCTCCTCCTGCCTCTAAACTCTTTCTTTTCTGAGCAGGTGCCTTTCAGTAGACAGTATCATTACAGGATACAGTCACAGCACAGAGACTAGTAGCTTATTCAGCTGGCTGACCTATAACATAGCAGGGCGGGCCAGCTCAATATGGCTGTAGCCACTGCTGTGCTAGGATTAGAGTCGGGCTCTCCATCCCAGCCCTCTGAATAAGCCCTGTATTCTCTCCAGCGGTTGTGTGTGGATGAGGGCTGGAGGGGGGTATTGAGCAGGAAACTTGTTTGGAGTCTGGGAACAGCTAAAGCTGGGCGCTTACTACAGACATTTGTTCTGTTTCATTACAAGTTTGCTGTTGGAGTCCTTCCAACATCAATCTTGAGCCATCGGAGAAAACCACGTTTGAAAGTCAGGAATCTCGATGTGGATTCATCAGTCCAGAAGCTTGTACAGGAAATGTGTGTTTAATTGTGCATCATTTGCAATCTGTCATATTTTAAAAGGTCTTGTAGTCTGTGTCCAGCATAATGGAGGTAGTGCTATCTGAACCTATCTTGATCTTTGAGTGTGATTCATACTGATGGCGATGGGTTCACCTTTGAAGCAAAGGGGATGTTACTGACCAGCTCTGAATGGACCCTTTACAGAAACCTCCTCCCCTGAGGCACTTGTTTGAATCTGCGAGGAAATTTGTTGCTTGTTGTTGGATCACGTAGATGCCAGCCGTGCCTTTTGGGAAGGAGGGGGAAAAATGAGGGTCCATTCAGGTTTGGTGCCTTTTTTCCTCCAAACTGTAACAGTAACAGAGGTGCCTCCTGGGTTCCCACTCCAAACCCACTTTTGTTTCGTTAGGTTTGTTCTTTTTCTCTCGTTACTTCTTTCTTTTTTTTCTCTCCAAACAGACCCATGTCTTTGTCTTCTGCCTGTTTTTCTGTTTTTGGTTGGTCTGTTCTTCCAAGACTCTGCCAAAGCTTCATAAGCCCCCCCCCCCCTCTCCCCTTCGTTCCTTACTCACGTGTGAATTATTTCAATGAAATATTTTTGAGTTCTCTTTTATTTCCACATGACTGTTGAATCTATTCAGTTGCTGTTTGTATATTATTCTTATTCTCTTATGATTTCTTAAGTTTCATCTTTATTATATTTTAGGACCCAGGGATCATCCTGATATTGTTGATTCATTTATGCAACTCCAAGCTCAGGTGTGTTTTTGGTTTCTTATTTCATTCACTTTGGGTTTCTATCTCTCTTTCTCTCTTTTTCTAATTTCTCCCTGTTTCTCTGTCTTCTCCCTCTGTACCTCTTTCTGTTCTTTGTTACTGGGCCCTAAGGCGTCCCATCTCACGGGCGAGGCGGTGGAATGAAACATGAGGGGGAATGTTTGAAACTGAGACGTTGGTCTCTCCTCAAACGCTTTTGATTCTAACAGTCACCTCACCACACGGAGAGCTCGTGTAGGGTTTTATTTTACCTGCAGAGACCCTCTAAATATGTCTGATGTGTTATTATAGTATTTGAAGCAGTGATAACACACCAGTCCTTATCTTCTATTCCGCAATCTCTGATGTGGAAGGAAGGGTGTTATGATGATCGTCAAACTCTAAGAAATCATTTTTATATCAAAATACTGTGTAAGCATGCTGTTAGGTGAAGACCTTGTGTTTCCACAGTCTTCTCAGTAGACAAGGTAGATTTTTTTAAAGAGTTGCTAGATGATCTTTTATTGATTTTGAAAAGATTTCATGAACCTAAGATGTCAGGACGTTCTTATGGCTCACAGAAATAATCATATTAAAGGATTATGCTGCTCAACAGGCTGCTTAGAAAATAGTAAAAAGCAGCGCTTTTATGTGGACATATTATGCATGAAAATCCACTATTTTAAGCACATACATTTTTGCTAAATCTATTCCCTTTTTTTCTGTAAAGTCAACATCAGGGCCCATTTGCTCCTTGGAAAAACATCAGCACACTCAGCACTTTAGATGAAATATTTTAGTTGATGCGGCGCTCTTGGGAAGATGATGTAACGCGTCGGCATCAGCGTTGTGGTCCCAGGTGACTGGTTAGTCTCCGAGCCCAGTCCTCCTCTGAAGTCATTCCAGCCCACAGCCAATCAAAGCCCAAATGAATTAATATTCAACTAATATTAATCAGTTCAGACAAATTGGCTGATGGCTCTTCTGTTTTATATTTTTGTCTTCCGTCTTCATTCTTCTTCCTTTGTTTTCTATCTATGGATAGATCTGACCTTCATCTCTCTCCCTCTCCCTCTCTCCTCTCCTCCATCCTAAATGAGTTCATTATTGCCAGATGAGTTGTATTTCTCTTTATCTGCACATGTTAATTACTTACACACTTCTGTTGCATATTCAATCCAGTCAACCAAAAACAAGGAAAAGTAATGTTTCAAATATAATTGATTTCAAGAAACAAAACCATCATTGCCTTTAGTTTGACTTAAGTTTCCAATGATTTCAAAGTTTGATTTTTTGCAATTTGTTTGTTATACCTGCTGAGTTCTGCATTGGAGCATCTCTGTATGAGTTTGGATATAGTTTTTCCTAAACAGACGGAGAGAGTACTATAGCCTGGTAGGCAGATCTGTTCTCAGTCCTGTGTTGCTGTCAGATCCGGCTACCAGGCTGAGCGGGTATTGTTGATAGCAGTATTTTGAAGGAGCTTATGCAGTGGAATGTGGTGAAGCAGTACCGATTGGGTCGGGCCGACAGAAACATGCTCTGTTTAACGCCTTTATCTGCCTCTTAGGCCCTCAAACGGAAGCCCGATTTGTTCTTGTCTGAGAGTCTTGACGTGAAAGCAGTGTTCCATTGTGGTAAGTTTGCACATAGTTTACATAAACACACACTGTTCTGGGTGTTTCGTTACAGTTCCTGTGAAATATGTGCCTTTCAGTACAGAGTACAAACTGTAAATGTTTGACACCATCCTCCAGTAGTTTATTTATGTTTCTGACTCCCTCTTCCAGGAGTTCTGTCACTCAAATTTCCCGAGGCTCCGACAGTCAAGTCAACGTGCTTGTTCTTTGTGAGTGAATACACACACGCAACGTGCAAGAATTGCATGTTTATAAATGAGTCATTTGGCTTTAAATGTTCTGATTCTCTCTCTTTCTGCCGTAGACTGAACTTTTACCCCACTGCTCAGATGTGCCTCCATTAGCCAGAGTGGTGCAGGAAGACGGCAAGCTGTTGATCCAGGCCGTGCTGGAGGTGAGAAGCACCGCGTTACACATTTACATGTCGCACCACCTAAAACGTTTTATCATTTCACTGATGCAGAGTTGTCACACATCAAACTTTTGTCCGTCTTATTGTAATTACCTCCCTGTTGTCGAATTTTTCCCACAGGGCATCGGGGGCGGGGCATCTCGGAGTCTGATGGACCAGTTTGCAGAGGTGCTTTTCTCTCTTAACAAGCACTGCTTTTCTCTGCTGGCTGTTTGGTTGAAGGAGGCACTGCAGCCTCCTGGGTTCCCGTCATCGCGGGTCACAATTGAACAGAAAGACAACTTCTCCCAGCAGATACTCAGGTAACCCTGCCGGACATTGGTCTTATTCAGTTGGTCAACCACATGCTTTTTCATCATATTTAATCATTTTATGTATTTGTCCTCTGTCGTGCAGAGAACGAGTGAACAAGAGGAGGGTGAAGGACATAGTGAAGGAGTTCACACTACTGTGCAGAGGGCTGCACGGTACAGAGTACGCCGCTGAATACTGAAACTCTATCCTTGAACTCTCACCTAACCGTGACCTCTGCCCTCAGCGCAAAACAGCTGGATGCCACAACAATACACTTCTCACAAACCCCATCAGTGAAGAAATCATGAAATGATTGTAATGATAACCCGCCCCGCCACAGGACAAGACATGGAACTCTTCCAGCATAGACCTGCCATCGGATTAATGGACAAACATTAAATCCCCGGTGGTTTCAGGGAGGCCGTCCTCTCTGCTCCAATATTGTTTTTCTGTTTGTTTGTTTCTCTATCTCTCTCCCCTTATTTAAAGGACTTTTCTTTGGAAGAGCTTCGAGCAGCACTCCCGGCATGCTGCCTCACGCCGCCTCCTATCTCTGTCTTGTTCTGCCTTTCTAGATCCTCCCGTGGTTCCTAGGTTGTTTCCTGGTGATTAGCATCCATATGAAATGGTAGTGGTATCGTACGTAGCTACTTGACATTATTTTTCAGAATAAATCAAATTAATTATATAAATGTATATGTATACACATATAGAAAGATGGTGGTTGTCAGTCCTGCTGCTGCTAACGGGAAGAGAGAAGGACCAATGTCGGGGGGGGGTTCTGCAGGAGAAATTACATAAATACAATAATATTTGTAACATACCCCAGTGCTCTCTGCATTTGCCAAATTATCAAGACATGTTTTGTGAATTTGTCCCTTCTTTTTGTTATATATGCCTTTTTTGTGGGTGTGAGTGGATAAGGAAAGCTGAAAAACACACAACTGGACTAAAAAACTGTCTCTTACCAAGCCCTCTGTGTACAGGGCTGTACCTCATGTACATACGGTCCCACTGCAGTCTCCTTGGGTTGCAGAGAGTGGTTTTAAATGAATTGGTCCCTTAGGTAAAGCAGGACTGTCTAGAGAATTGGCTGAAGGGGGGGGGGAGGAATTATAGTAGCTGGCAGTGAGAAGGAGGCACAAGATGAAACTGAGAAGGGAATTGATTGTTTGGAGGGATTAATAATCCCGATGATGGACTGCTTAGTCACTGTAATCGTGCAAAAATATTAATCAAGTTGTGCATATTAACAGTTATTGCTGAACACTTCTGTGTATTTGAGTGTGCGCGCGTGTTCATATCAGTATGTATGAGAGGGGTGTGTGCGTGCGTGTGCGTGTGTGTGTGCGTGCGCGCAGATGTATCTTTTTCCACTCGTTCAGTGCACTTATATTGGACCTACAGTACACATCCATATCTTCCTCCTATCGTTTAAACAAAGAGCCCATTCATTTCTTCATGCCGCACTCATTGAGACTACTCTTTTCTTAAAGACTGACCAGGCACGTCCAGTATTTCACCTCTGCTGCTCACCGGCAATCACACACATCTGTTAGACATCCTTATCATCTGGAATGACCAGCCAGTGATAACCACCAGACTCATCTATCTACCCGTTATTGACACCAACTACTGCTCCTAACAAAATGCTTGTGAACAAGCTACCCAAACCCATTTTCATCCATCTGGGTCACTGCCTTGGAGAGGAACAAGAAGGATTAGAGAGTTCAGTAACAAAATGCAAGACCTCTGAGAAAGTTATTCAGCAAGAATGAACGCCAACATTCTGTGCTCATCCATTACGCCAGAGACATTATTGGTGAAGTGATGTGATGGCTGTAAAATACACTGTCTAGTGAATCTGCAGGACCACTTGACATCTAACAACACTCAGCATTGAAATGTACTTTGTGGTCTCTGATAAACTTTATCTCAGTCTAATCCTTCTGTCTTATCCGAGGTGCCTGCAGACATGTAGCATGTATGTGTTTTTTGGGGGGGGGGGGGGTCATGTTCAGGGTTCAACAAACATATTCAGTGTGTGAGACACTGCAGAAAGACGTGTTTTTAGACTGAGACCCGATGCAGGAATCTGCTCTGGAGTGAACTGTCCTGCCTCGGGCCTGATTTGAATGGTGAATGATTGGATGTCCAACACTGATCCTCGCTCTGTGTAGTGGTCTCATTTTGAAGTGGGAAAATTGAAACAATGTTTGTCACAGTTTATAGAAAGAGTAGTAGGTGGATGAGGAGAGGGAGGTATGAAATGTACATTGTTTTTTTTGTACCTTGGCTTTAATTTATTAAATATATCTAAGACTGCAGCTCCTGACTCTTCTATGTGTGTGGGAGTAGTTTTGTTCTTCCATCAAAGGCACACCGTCTGCAAATCCTACAGGTATTTTTTCCAACATCTTTGAGACAATTAACACTACAATTAGAAATGTAGATGAAGATTCAAGTAGAAACAAGTAAGAAAAATATTTTTAATTAGCTTTTTTATAGATGGAGCCAGTTTATTGAGGGACATTTGTAAATCTGGAGTCAGCCCTTGTTTAATAAGTGGTTCTCCATCCGTATTATCAAGGCTGTAACCAGGACTCTTAAGTACACTAGTCAAAGTAGCCCCCACTGTCTAAACATGCCTAGAAACTAAAAGAAAATCTGTAAATAGTATTTGGATTTTTTTATTAAGTTTGCTGTGACAAAATATTACATTGTTGTTGTGGGTTTATTTACCATCATGAAAGTCTGAACTTCCGGTGGACAAATACTCAACCATTATTTTATTTAGTTGGCCCTAAAGCCTAATGTAGATCCTGCATCTTGACTTGAACCATCCTATAAATTACACACCATGTTTAAGTTTTTAACTAGAGAATGTGGGTTGTGGATGTTTCATGTCATGTTGGTGGGGACAATAAAACCATTTTTATTTATTTTTTTTAATTGCTGTATAAGAAGAGAAAATAGATAAATAATAACAAAGGAAGGACATAGTGAAATAAATAAAAATTAAAATAAAATAAGGGTAACATCGATTCAAAGTAATATATCATCTGTCCAAAAGAAATTTGTCAAACACACAGTTAGTTTTGATTGCCTTCTTGTTCTTAACGTTTTTAATTGTGGTGCTATACTGATGCAGTTCTTGGAGAAATTTTCCAAAGTGTGGTTTGGAGTCAGTCCATTTTTTCTTGTGGATGTGGAATTTCCCCAATACTGTTACCAACTGTACAAAAAAATTACCTCTTTTTCCTTCTCGTTTCTTTCAAAACATATAAGAATGTCCTTTTCCTGAAGTTGAAACGTTTGTCTAGTTTTCTTTTTCATATAAAATTCAACATCCCACCAAAACATTCTACATGATATACATTGATGAAATAAATGACTAAATAAATAAATTGATTCTTCATATAATCTACAGAAAGTGCAGGAATACTCAATATTAAATCTAAATCTCTCAAACGTCTTTTTTAGCTGATATATACGATGTAATATCTTGAAGGAAACCTCTTTTACTTTGTTGTTAAGACAGAATTTGTCTACAATAAGCCACATTTGCCTCTGCCAATTAATTTTTCCAAAAGTCCAAAAGAGTTATGCCTTGTATGCAGTTCCTTATATGTTTATTTGAACATTTATTTTTAGTAATGTCAATATCTCCAAGGAATATACTACTATTAAATGGTTGGGTCCTTGAGACCTCACTAACCGAACCTCGAAGAAGTTGCAGCACACTCCTTGGCACAGCATCAAAAACCACTGCATATTCTTTTGGCATAACTGGTAAACTGAAAACTACAACATCCATAATACAGTTGAGATCGTTGCGGGTAACGTCCCAGTTAGACAATTTTACTTCAAGAATGCAAAGTCTTTTTAAACTTAGTGAAAGAGTAATTAGTAGATTTTGTCCCGTTTTTATATACAGTCTATGGTAACAACTCAGTGAAAATCCAGTGGACTAGGGTAGCAACTGCGCATGCGTACACAGCTGAGCTGCTACCACGTGGGTGTGGAGGTCTATCCATCACATCCTGTCCTGTCAGTCTGCAGACCTCACCAACCAGACCACCTTCCCTCCAGCCCATTCAGAAAGAGCACACGTTTCTCCGGGACACCAGAGGTAAGCGGCATCTCATTTTTACATCCCAAACAAAGACTCAACCGCTGAAGCTGCGACGTAAGTTAAGCTAACCTTACTAACTAGCTCTCTGCTAACTCTGGTAACCTTATTAGCCACTTGCTTCCCCGCAAGTAACTTTAAGTGGGAGAAACAAAACAGCCCCAATTGTTTGTTAACAAACAGGAACCCCCCGAGCACCATTTCGATGATGTCTCATGTCACTTGAGACACATTACGAAGTTATATCCTCCATGTTTCTGCTGTAGACCGGTCACATCACAATCTGTGTAGGTGAAGAGGTGTGTGCGTGCCTGTGTCCTACAGTCTTCTCCATGCGGTTAAGGACTAACAGAAAGCTCCTGACCATGCAGTGAGTGACCTGAAACATGCTCACAATCAGTGATCCAGTTGTCAGGAGGCTCAGGGTGTGTTTGTTTAGATATACATTTATCTTGGTAACTCAATGAATAAGCTATCAGACCAGGACTGACAGATGTTGCATTATGTTTGTACTATGATTTTAGATCAGAATACAAACAGCTTCTTGGAAAGTGATTATGTCACATGATAGAAGCAGTGATAACACTTTTCTGTATTGATATGATTTTTGATTTTTAAAAGTTTGAGTCACAACTAAACTAAACTGATTAACTTGATTTAAACCATCAGGCGATGGCGATTCTAAACATTGCATCAACACGTAATGTAATCATTGTCTGGCCTGAACACTGAGAACTTAGAGAGTAGGATCTCGGCGGCAGGCTTTGTACAGTGTCATGAGTGGCCTGCTGTCTGTTAGTTGTTTTGTCTTGATCTGAACGGATCTGGAGACAAAGGTCAGCCTCAGTGAGAAGATGTGGGAATCCTTACTTATCATTGATCATCACTATAGACATTTAGCCTCTGATTTAGTGAGATGGGGTAAATCAATGTAAACGACAGATGATGCCTGCAATCCATCATCGTTGACACTGAATATTTGTTTCAGTCTCTCCATCAGTCATGGCTGTACTGAGGTTCTACAGTAACGAAGCTGTGAATGGGCGAGCCTTACAGAGGGCAACCAAGCTCTATTCAAAGCTGTTAATCACCACCGAGCTGTGCTACAATGTGGAGCTGACAGGTGAGTGTGTAACAGTGTGTCTGTTGGTGGTGACAATACTAATAATTGAAGATGCAGAGGCCGTGAAGACCAAAGCAATCGTGAAGAATGTGACACACGTGGATTCACCTTGTGTAGTCATGAGACATTTTCCACACACCCTCTGTCTTTTCCATTTTGCCATGTTGTGATTGTTTCCTCCTGCCCTCTGCTGCAGGCTGCCAGAGTCTCGGTGCCGATCAGAAGGAGGTTCTCCTGTGGTTGTTTCGCCCTCCCCTGCAGGCAGAGCCGCTCTCTGACAAACCAAACCTCACAGAGGGGAGCGGGGAGAAACTGGTGGAGATCGGACCCAGGTACTGCTGCACCCACGCAGTCTTGGTGGCTCAATGAAATCCCAGTTACTGGAGTTTTCAGAAGCATCTTACAGTCTTCATTAGCAGATTGTGCTCTAATGCTTATGACTCAGTGGTCATCACTCGGGTTGAACAATTAAATGAAATTTTATCAAAATTGCAATTTTATATTGCAGGAGGTGCAATATTTGTTAAGGCAAAATACGCCATGTTTTTACAGCCCAAACGGTCAAACTGTGTTTCGTCACTATGTTGAATACATGCGTACGAAGAAGTAGTAGTAGTAGTAGTAGTAGTAGTAGTAGTCGTCGTCTGGTTTGCTAGAAGTAACAATAGAAGTGAAATAGGGACCACAACGTATTAGTTAGCACAAGAGCCGTCAGCCTCCATTGCTTCTCCTACACGCTTGCAGGGATGGGTGAGCAGTGGCTGAGCTGTAGGTTGCAGTACGCAACCCTCACCACTAGATGCCACTAAAACCTACACACTGAACCTTTAAATTAAATATTGTCGTGTTACAGAGATGCGGCCTACACGTCATAAAGACTTAAGAAAACATCTGTGTTTGGTACAGATCCCGGCAAAAATCACACCATAATTCATTTTAATATGTTTTTCAATGAAAATGAATGTGATGACTGTAAAAATGATAATTCCCTGTAGTATAGCAAATCATATCGCAATTGCAATATCAGTCAAATAATCGCAATTAGATATTTTTTCAGAATCATTCAGCCTTAGTCGTCATGTGATCAAAGTTCGGAAGTTGGGTCAATTTCAATCTGTTTTGAAAATTAGAAATGGTTTGTTTGTTGTTTCATGACTGCAAACACTGAAACAAGCTGAGCATGATTATTTTTTTTTCATAAAGTAGATTAAAAGAGAAATAAATTGTTTTCTTGTGAGGCAAGCAGATGTTCACTTTGTCCACTGGAGGGTTATATGGAAATAACTGTCAGACGGACTGTGGGCAAACATGATTTGTGTTCTCATGAATTTCATTTGGCAAAAAGCAACCATATGGTACGATTTCTAGACTGTTAAGGATTCCAAGAAATTATCTTTTTTTAAAATCATAAATTTGAGAAACTTAATGCTAGTGAGGCAGACATCAAAGTCCAACAGGAGAAAATGTCTTCAAACTGTTGTTATTTATGTCATTGCTGTTTTGCGCTCCAGGTTGAACTTTTCCACCGCCTGGTCCACTAACGCCGTGTCCATCTGCCAGAGTGCCGGCCTCACTAATGTCACACGGGTCGAGCTGTCTCGCAGGTTTCTAATCAAGGTTTGTACACACATACATCCTTTTTGGAGCACTGGGTTGGTTTTCATTTCATGTTTGTGCTTATGATGATGTCTGTCTCTCTTCCCTCCAGCCAAAGAATGGAGAGAGCGTAACCGAGCTCAGCGGAGACATAAAGGAGCTGATTGAGTGTCTGTATGACAGTATGACAGAATGTATCTATCAGCAACCCATCACCTCCTTCGCTGTGGAAACCAAACCACTGCCAGTGTTTGAGGTGGACATCCTGGGGAAGGGTCGTGCAGCCTTGGAGATGGCAAACAATGATCTGGGTTAGACTCTCTTAACAATTTCTAAATTAGTGGAGTTTCTCTCAGCGCCGTTCTGCTTCAGCCTCTTTCTATCTTTTTACTGTTGTTCTCTTATCGTCCTTAATGTGCCGTAACCTTCCTCTCTTTTCTCTTTTCTTGATGCCTCTTTTCAGTCTTGCAGCTGTC